TGTCTTTAAAAAGTCATTAAATCCATCTCGCGGTTTGGCGTAACTTCCGGAGGCGGACGGGTACGTAACATACGCTTATTACATACGCTCTGTATATTACTCATCCCCGGAGTTCGAACAAACTTTCTTCTGGAAGTGGAGAGACTCGTACGGGAGGTTGCGCTTGCTTTACATCAATAGCCGGCATGTATTCAAAATTGCCGGTTTGGTTAATTCTTCGTGCTCGTGTTATGGACGTTGGTTTGCACGCGCAGGCTCGCGTTACATGCGGAAGATGACGACCGGAAGTGAACGTGTGTAGTGAGTTACCCAAGTTGGACTAAGTTTAGATCGGTGGTTTAACCAAAAGCGCGTGTATCAAAATTTTTTGCTTTCCAAAATAAAAATAAATTTTACGATTGGTATTTGAGAGGTGTGACCTTTATTTTTTAGAAGTACAATGGTAGCGATCGGTCGACGTTTCGATTGTTTCGGCAATTCGGCAGAGCGCATCAAATTCCTGTCGCGCCATTTTGTAGCGAAATCCGTAATATTTTGTTAAGGCAAAAGGGAAGACGCCGCATAAACAAGTCTGAAGGAGATAATCGAGTGAAAAGATGGATGCTTTGGGGGCCGGTTAATCCAGTTGGGCCCAACGCGGCGGCGTCCTTGTTGGGATTAGTCGCAGTCGTCGTTGGGCGCGCGGCGGCACTTTACCGCTCATCTCCGCTTGTTTGCCTCGTCATGGACAAGCCAGTTAGTCCGCCATATCAGACTCTCAGATTATCTTGTTCCGCTTTCATCCTCAATTGAAAAGTAGTCAAAAGATTGCTATTTTCATTGCCGCGTTCCAATAATGCCAGAATTGTACAGGAATTGTATGGTGACTTCTTTATTATGCAGCGGTATATGCTTACTGCATAGTTGAGGTGATTAAACCGATCCTGTGTTTTTATGTCGCTAATTCCTCCTTGGTTGACGCATTATGGAGAAATGTATTTCCATATAGATACGAAAGAGTTTACAAAATTAATGCCTCTGCTGTTATAGGCATTAGGCAGCTTTAATTTGAGTTTTTAAATCGAAACGATTTTGAGCTATGCATGTACGAGTATTTATACCTTTATTTTCTTATTACGAGTATAAGCGCACAGCAAACAGATTTTTTCAGAAACTATTTTAACTATAGCTAGACACCGAAATTATAGTTTTGGCTTTATTATATATTATCCTGACGGAGTCCTTAAATTAATCTTTAATACATAATTAGATTATTTTAACCAAAAGAGCAATAACGTATACGGAATTAAAGAGAGCGTAATACTTAATAAACGTTGTTTATCTACATGAAAAGCCATGACGTTCAACCGCAATATTCTTATTCTTATAGTTCTAACGATTTAAAGTATGCAGTTCTCGTGTGCGTCACACTGCGCTTGGTTGAAGTCCCTTGTTTATATTTCTCAGAACCAGTCGGATTAATGACGATTATTGGAAACAGTCTACTGCAGTATATTATACCGGGCAAATGTACTGTACAATACAGATGCAGCTTAATGAAGTTTATTTATCGCATGGCACTTGTGTGCACGTCTACAAATTCGCACTATGTGTTAGCAATATAAATAAATTTATCAGCGGATATAAAGGAATCCTGTTTCACAAATGATTTCCTACGCTTTGATAATGCCCGGCAGCTGTTTGGACACTGTATTAAAATCGGTTTCAAATTGTGTTTATTTCTCTATGAATTTCGTGCATCCAGCTGTGAGCCGGCATACATATGCTTCATTTCCATGGCGGTTTACTCATTTTTCCCAGCCAGAATAGAATACTGATTAAGACGGCCAAGATTAAAACAAGCAATATATACAATATGCGGTCGGTCTTAAATATCGATGAATTAACAGAATATCAATTATCATGCGGTGTACTTTGACAGAGCACGATCAAAACAATGCACTTTATGAACCGTTCTCGTGAGTTGCGGAAGTGGTCGACCAATGCGGTCTAGCGAATTTTATACTAAATTCCAAGATTAGAATCCTTATTAGTCATTACAATCCTTGTTACGATTGCACTCCTTATCGACATGTTATACATAATTAGCACAGCAGATAGCGGTCTAGTAGCAAACAGCAGACTCAGCAGAGCATTCAACAGGATATACTGTTTTAAGATATACAAACACAAACACATGAAAATGCTAATTCGTCCGTACCATAGTCAAAAAATGATTTTCGTGGCCAACAAAAGTCCACCAAATTTCCTCTTTTTTCGTACGTGAAACAAATCGCCATTGCACAACTTGTGTTTAAATTAACGTTAAATTAACGTGTTTAAATTAACGTGTACTGCATTCCTATTCTGAAACACGACTGCATTATTTATTGACTTATAAAATATGCGGACATTTACACAATAATTAAACCCTAAGTGACATCATAATATTAAGTACTAAAACCAGTAATATTACAAACTTTTTTTAGTAAAATTATGGTAACCTTTAAATTTAAGCATGTCAGTAGACTTTGTAATTAAGCCAATTTTTAATTCCGAGATATTGTGAATATGGCACTACGATCATCGTACTATTTACAAAACTTAAGATTCAACAACCACATCTGAAAAGGCTGAACAAATAAATATGGTGAGGATGAGCGAAGCGGAACGGAATGCTTGCGAAGTGCCGCGGGTGACCTTTGCAGGCGGACAGCGGACCCCCCATCCGCCTGATGACGGTTAAATGGCGAACTCGCCATGCATCCAGTTGGCCGCATAATTGCCAGGTATTAAGATAATCAGTCCAATCAGTGCTGCACAGGTAGTCTTCTACAGAATCTATATTCTATACACCGTGCAGGGCTCCTTCCCAGCACGGCTGCAGGGTGCGCCCGGCGCAGCACGATGTCGGACAGTTGCTTTCACTGCTAGTTTACACATCGGACAAGTTGTCAAGATCAGTGTCTTCGTGTATAGGTAGGTAACATGATTGGATACCAATCGTGGTATTGTAACGAAACGGTAAAAATGTTAACCGATTCATCAACAACAAATTCCGATTGGGATTACACTTTTAAACGGAAATATGTTCGATGTACTGACGGTATCTCCCAGCCCGTATTAATAGCGTATGCATTGTATGGTATATATCATATTATATGGTAAGAGTGCGCGGTATGTTGGTGATGAATTACAACTCGATCGCAAAGTGACAGCTCTGTAAAATGGCAACTAAATCATATGGACGAGGCTTATTCATATACTTGTAATTACAAGTTATATACACATAGTTAGTTATGTTTTCTAGCCGTGACAATTAATGGTGTTCTTTGTATTCATAAAAAAATATTTTTTAGTCATAGGTAAATTAATAATTGCCAGTAGCGGCCCGATCACTTTGTAATTTCACTTGCGGTAAATTAAAAGTCGTGTAGTGCGGATATGCGCAATGTAGGTATATACTTCTATAGTTAATTATGTACTTACTGCTTTTGGAGGTGCGCCTAACTGATCATGAACATGTCCATTTCACATTGTTTTCATAATTTCATCAAATCGGCATGCTTCACATAATTATACGAATGCAGATATGACGATATTAACATACGTACGTACGTCTCCGCACCTGCATGTGTGCGGATCGAGTTTGATGAATTTTGCTCGTGCAAGCACTTCTGCAAGTTTGTGGTGTACAAGTGCAAAATTACCGCCGCATGCTTTGTTTTAGTTTTTGAAATAACTTCCGTACACAGTAATTGATTCTAGAGCCTGAAGTTTAGAGTTGTTACTTATGATGAGTTCGATTGTAACCGGTTCATCCAAAAATGCTGGCCACAGCGGAACTCTTTGCGACGATGACGAAATACGCTGCATCGGAAGAGTGTCAAAGCTCAAGAACTGGGAATGACCGATGGCGTTCAGGTGTCGATGGATTACAGCTACTAGTACTTCTCTTTGCGGATGATGAGCTATTACGCTTGGCCTTTCCTTTTAAACTGGCCCACTTGTCATGCTATTGCTGACCACAGCGCTCACCATTTCGTCCAGCAGTTGAGTCGGCTGTTAGTAGTGTGTCCAGTCGCTGGTGTGTAATTATCGGAACTCAGGAGTATCCTTTTACACCGCGGCCGAATTATCCCAACACGAAGCTGACTTTTCACTTTTCACCAACTTCAAACTGCCACTCCGATCATTCTCAAGTGTCACCGAGGATAATCTGTGATACTGTGAATCGGTCCATCACACAAACAACTGCGGCCCGCCCGGCCCCATCCGTCACCTCCACAACGAGGGGCAGTCGGCGCATGCTGGGCGTGCCCGCCTCCGGGTGCCCATTGAGACGCCCATTTATCACCACTCGGCGCTGTATAGTAGCTTGCCTTCATATAGATATTCTTCCTTGAAACTCGAAAAGTTGTTGATTTCTAAATTCTAGAAACGGCACGCATCTTTAATTGGCATGCACCTTTAATTCATGTTTTCTCGGTTTTGTACTTTTCCAATTTTAATTTACATCGAACCGATTTAAATTTAATAGCCGGCCAAAGTTTTATTGGCATAGCTTATTAAGTATTTACCTCTGGACTACCTTAGAATTAATTACTGAGGTAGTGAGGTATATTGATTATGGAAATGTATACTTATTGTACTTGCAATTTGCAAGCAGAGTGAATATTTACACTTTGTAAAACCGGTACAATGTACGGTTGTACATGTAACTGCTAACTGCATATTAAATTTGTATTTACGTGTCCGAAAGCATACATACAGTACAAAAAAAAATTAACAGAGTACCGGAATAGTAAGTCCGGTACGTACAAGTTGTTAACCACACTTGCGGTATAGTACTATATTAATTTTTACGAGTTAGTAAGTATGCATTCGTATATTATGTGAAGAGACTGGCATGGAAAGAGCAATTGATATTGCTTCCGGCGGTTCTCAGTTTTCGGTTTTACTAATACTATGCTGTCTGTGTATATGCTGTACACAATATTATGTTTGCTTTCCCGAGAAAACCCAGATTAACTGTAGTTGTCGTAAAAACATTAAATATAATTCCATACAATTCGGCCAAGTCGATTGTCAAGATTTGCGTATACAGAACTTGTGGTTTCTTCTGACAACTCTTAATTTTCTTTCTCGAAGTCGGCCCTGGCAAACTTGTAACGCTGGAGATTATCGGACGAGTGTGAAATATTATGATATAATATTATAATTCCGTGTGTCGGTTTTCGTAACATTACGGAGCGTTTGCATTTACACCCTGCGAATTCCGAGCGCACACTGATTCTGTTATGTGCGTAAAAGTGCGGGGATTACCGGCACACCTTCGTTCCAGAGTTTGTGTATCTAGTTTCTAGTAGCGTACAACTTACCCCTGTAAATTAAACGAATAATCATACTTGACAAAAAGATGGACCAGTACATTCGCGTCCTGGATGAAACGGATGAAATTCTCAGTGTTGCCGAACTTCCGGAAGATTTGTTAATAGATGTTTTCCAGTGTCTGGATTCCCACGAGCACCTCGTACTGAAAAGGTTTGCACTTGTAGGCTTGGGTGAAGCTACATATGCTGCCACAACTCTCTTACCTAATATAAATAAACGTAGCGAAACATAAAATTAATTTTCATAACTACATAGAAGTGCAGTATAGTCTACCATGGTTATAAGAAAAAATGGTATGTAATTTATTGCTGTTGCCGTCATGTGCAAATAGAAGCATCTACAGATTATATATATATATTTGCATGCTTACAGATAGTCTGATAGGCGATTTTCACCAGTGCGATACTTGTACATAGTTATTTAGTGTAATAATATTATAATGATGCATTATCATGTTCACTCGTATTTCATCGTCAGTATCAACTTGAGTCTTCATTGCGTTAACAAAACTACTGCAAGCTACAGTCTGTCATTACAGCATGTTAATTTGCGCAGAGTGTGTCGAGCCTGGGAATATTTGCTGAATTCCGGAACATTCACAACGGAAATTTTCATTAACTTCTCAAAACCAATAACCGGCAACGCGCATTTTGATCAGACCACTGCTAACAATATTCTGAAGTGCATGACATTCGCCAACGTTTGCCGCTCAACAGCCCAGCGCTTAATTATTCTGGGTCCTTTTCGGACCGATCGCGCAGTACTCTCGCCCGCGGAAGTGCAAATCCAGGAAATGATGTTCCGCAACATACACCGCGCCGTCCGCCAGTCGCCGGACTTCTGGAATCCAGCCAACCGTAAAGGTCACTTCGTGCTGCATCTCGCCGGCGTCGCGGCGCCGTATTTTCATTTGAACATGTTGGTGCAGAATTTACTGACACGGGCTACGTGTATTCGATATCGTCTGGAGGACGTGGTAGTCACCAACATTTTCGGGGAGAACGATAGCGCGAACGGCAGTCGCTGTTGGACGGACGCCGGTGTCGTGATTGCCAGAGGAGGCGGTAGAGTACAGCGGCGGGACGAGTTTATCGAGCAGCTGGCGGATTTGATTGAACGGGACATAGCGCCGGTTGGCGTTCGAGAACTGGAGATGCTGAAAATCTTGGTGCGGGGGGAACTGCTCTACGGACAGCAGAATGCACGCCGAACCGTTTTACAGACCATCAAAATGTATGCTACGTACAGGAGTTTCAGCACTCGTGGCTGTCGATTGTCGTTTATACCAGCAGCCTTAATTAGGCTGATCTGCTTTTGCAATTTTAAGATGTTCGGCAATTAATTAAGCGATGCAAAAGCTAAGCATGTTATTGCTTGCAGGTTTGAGCCCGGTCTGCAAAAGATTACCGCTCAGCAACTGGCCAGCCTGAATTTGACCGGTTTGAAGAAGACAACGCTCCGTGCTGTTTGGGATGAAGTATCCAAGTTAAATTTGATTTTTCACGCTTGTGGGTAGTCTTGCCAAATGCTGACAAAGCTTGGGATCGTTATTCTTTTTAATGTTTTAATCTTGCGCCGCTTACATGAATGAGTTGCCTGCAATATTTGTAACGGGAGCATTTATACAGATTACTGTACATGTATGTACACTGTAGTTATGTACAGAATACAGTATGTCATTATTGTGGACTTGTGATATTATAGGACACCATCGCAATTCGGGATGAAGTGTATTATGTGTCAAAATGATGGGAACTGCGTAATTCTGAGTTTAACCAATGTTAATGTGTGGCCCTAGCATAACACGCAGCTGGCCCTAGCATAACACCCTAGCATACAACCGGAGAAGTACTGCCTGGATGCTGCTGTAGAATGGCAAGAAACAACCCAAAAGACTTCCCATCCCCTGATGCGAGAAAACTCCAGAAAGCATGGGATGAGCCCATAGTCGTAAGCACCGTACAACGAGTGCAAACGGCAATCGGGAATGACCTCTCCGGTCAAGCGCGGTTCCTGGGTGTCAGCACAAAGGAAAATGGAGCGTGGCTGGGAGCACTCCCAGCCGCCTCACTGGGCAATCTCCTCACCGATTCCGCGGTCAGGATCGCCGGTCATTACCTCACACCGTTGTGTCTGCGGGGATTGGGCGGATGCCCGCGGCTACCACGCCCTCAGCTGCAAGAAAAGCCGTGGAAGAATTCCTACCCATAAATGTCTGAACGCTATCTGGAAGCGCAGTCTCGCCTCCGCCGGCTTCGAAAGCGAATTGGAGCCACAAGGTATCTGCCCAACAAGTAACAAGCGCCCTGACGGTGTTACGCTGACACCATGGGAAAGAGGGCGAATGTTGGCAAGGGACGCCACGTGTGTTAACACCATGGCCATTTCGCACATCTACACGTGCGGGAGCGGCGGCAGCACAGGCCGAGCAAAGCAAGGCGGAAAAATACCGGGACATCACTCCGAACTACCTTTTCAGCGCCTTGGGCTTCGAGACGGTTGGACCGCCCGGACCGGAAGCAACTCGCATGATGACAGTAGTTGGACAGAAGATTCAACAGGAAACCGGCGAAAAGCGGGCCATCGAAATCCAACGAGGCAATGCGGCATCTATCCTGGGAACGGCACCGATGGGGGCAAATTTAGATCAAATGTTCTCTGTGATTAGGCCGCATGAGTCAGTTGATGCTGTGTAATAAGTGAAGTTTCTTGAGCGTTTAAAATGAAGTTTATACCAGCCGAATAAAAAGTACTATGTTACACGCAGCTCCGAAACAACAACACGCCGAAACGCCGATTACTCCAGCTTTCTCAGGTAGCCGCTCGACGCGCTGGTTGACTCGGTCGCTTTCAGTTTGTTTTCGACCAGAGCAGACGAAACGAAGGTACGAAGTGAAAAGTGGAAAAAACTATTCTACGAGTATCTACTATAATTTATAATTCAAACTTGGAGAACCCTTATTTACGTATTCATTGATCCTTGTTTTATCTTTCACAATGATGGATTCGGATAATGAGAGACCGTTTAATCGCAGAGATCGGGTATGGATGTGACAGTCAACTAGAGAAAGCTCGCCTAGCGTTTCTTCCCGCTTTGCGTAGGTGATGCTGCAAATTCCCGATGATTTTCTTCGCATTCCCACACCTGCTGGCCAGTCGGATGATCAGCGTCCTCGAAGCCAGGTACAACTTTTGTAGTTTTCTGTTGATCAAAAACATATCATTAGCTTCCGGGCATCGGTTCACCCTTTGCAATAACTTACCGTGATCATGCTGTCTTTTGTCAGATCATGTTTTTAAGATTGTTTATTTCAGTCACAAAATGCGGCACAACCGCAAGTTGTCCGTACAGCTAACCCACGCGCAAATGCCGTGCAACAGGGAAAGCTAAGTGTTACTATTGCTCAGGTATGGCTGTAATTTTTAAAACAAAACTGGAAACATATATTATATTGATATACATATTGCACTTTCTGTTTCTGTGTGGCTCTCAGTACGAGTAGAAATTTAAAATTTAATTAATACCATACTTTTAATTTAAAACCATTTAATTTATGTCGAGACATTAAATTTTTGTTTACTGTTGTTGCGTCTACTCTTCCTGGATAGTTTCAAAAGCTCACATTAAGACTAATCATTAAGACGCAGTATTTCTACTTGCAGGCCAAACTTGGGAAAAATTATGGCTTGACTCGAATGGTAAACTAATTTATACTAATATACTCGCACAGTACTAGACTAATAAAACTGAAATGCTCGCGAATTCGGAATCGATCATTTGCGTGCGTACTGATTCTTTGAGCTTTTTCGGGTCTTGATATCTCGGGCCTGGATTTTTTCCTTATTGTTTTCGACGCACGACAGTAGTTATTTGTTTCATGTTTCAGGATCCATATGCTCGCATACGTATTGGACATTATGTGTTTGAAACGGAAACCGACGCCAATGGCGCCACTAACCCGCGCTGGGACAAGACGTTTCAGTGGTGAGCGAAAATCGACAGATTAAACAAAAGAAATTTTAGAACTGTCTGTTGTTTGCATTTTGTACGAGGTAAGTTAGTAAAACAAATAATGTGATATGATTCTGCCTAAAAATTCCGTATTGTACAAGATTCCTTTGCAGTTATGTTCCCCAAGGGATTAACTCTGTGTACGTGGAGGTTTTCGATGAGGTATGCAGTATGCTTGATGTGTGGCATCACTGATTCAGATTGTATTTCATTCTCTAATAAAACTGGAACGTTTTGATGTCTGTTAAGAAATAAATTACGGAAACTCGGACTTGATGCTAACTGTTTAGCAATCGGGCTGACAACCATTCATAGTGCACCTCGAGAGCGAATTTTCAGATTAATGTGCATGAAATTGAACATGACTGGATGTCTACGGAGAGTGTTTGGGTTTTAGCGCACCTTCGGAATGGACGAGAGAATTGCATGGGGCCATTTCACGATTCCCCAACGAGTTTTCGAAGGAGATGCCCTGGATGACTGGTTTCCATTGAGCGGAAAGCAAGGCGATCAAAAGTGAGGAAATTTTTACTAGCGCTAGCTGTTAACTGCATTTATTTATTGTTGGGCGTGGTAATTATAAATCTTGTGATACTTTTGTACTTTATAGGGAAGGGATGGTTGAGATTGTTTTCTCTTACGAAATTGTACAAACCGTACCTTCGTACACCATACCCGGTGGAGTGGTTATGATGCCCCGACAAGCACCTTACGGAGCGCTGCCTATGGCGCCACGCGTTCCCTACACCGTGCCAACTGCCGGTAAGGACAACGGGCATCTTTAGTGCTTTCGTTTTCTTCTAACCGTAACGTCATACAATGCGTAAACGACGGGGAGACTGTTTATGACCGTCGGATTGAAATTGTTTGTTTTGCGCCGTTTACAGTGGCGCAGCAGCAAGCGGCTATGATGCCGATCCAGATAACGGATAACGATGTGAAGCAGGTGAAGGAGATGTTTCCCAATATCGACGAGGATGTTATCCGATCGATCCTGGAGGAGAAGAATGGTCACAAACAGGCCGCGATCAACGCGCTGCTCTCTATGACGGAGACGTGAGCACTGCGCCTGCTTTTTTCTTTTTGTGGTCCTGTCAACACCGCATTGATCTTGATTTCCGTTGATTTGGTTCTTTTTATGCACTTTCCGGTAGCGGTTTATGATTAGCTCTTTTTTTATTTTTACTACCTTGCGCAGTCTGTTTGTGAATTGGTTGAGTTCAGTCATTTTGTTGATCTTGTGCCATGCCATGTTTATTTTTAGTGCCATGCCTGTTTGTGTTCTAAAGCAGCTGTATGTACATTTCACAGTTGATGTAAAATTTTACGGCCAGCACTGTTATTTCTTTATCGTTGAGCTGCGGTTCGTACAAAAACAAGTTGCGTATTTCACTTTCACAAGAAGCAGACAGTCAGACACTTCTATGAGGACTGGTCAATACACTTACCAATCCTTCAGTTCACCTCAGTTTCAGGAATGTTTTTGCTGCGCTCGATCCGCTAGGCACACGGAAATTTGCAAATTTGTGATGAAATGTTTTTCCTGGTACGGCCATTTCAGTAATTTAACTTTTCAATTGGTTTTGAAACTGAAGAAACAGTAGCATTAGCAATAAAAAGTTAAAAACTACTCATGGTCAGTAGGTGCGGTAACTGTGGAAGGTGTGCATTGCGGTTGCGACGTGTCGCATGAAAATTAATCAGGGCGGCAACTAGAAGGGGAAGTTTAAACAGATCTTTTTGAACTTACAGTACGCAAACCGTTTAGTTGTCTGTTATCATGTTTTGATCAAAACAGCACAAAATTTTTACTGTCAACCATAAAATGATAAATGTGATATTGTTTATTGCTGCATATACTTTGGATTGTGCTCGTTCCAGGAGAAGGAATTTGCAGAGTGGAGGCGAAACCGTAGCTCGAGAAGCTCGAGACCGTAGCTTGTCCTGGTATAAATGTTACGTCAGTCATAAGTCACAAGTGGCATGCGAGAACGGAGTACTACGTACTGCTAAAATCGGATAAATTCACGGTTGGACAGGAACAAAAGTGTTATTTACAATGGATGAGAAAGCTGCTGATGATGATTCCATTTCCCGCTCGTCAGTGGATACCCAGGGCACCCCCTCATCGCCAGTACCAGCCTCGCTGAAACGTGTTACAGATGAAACGGGAAGAGCACCTCCGAATTCTCCTGCCAAGCTTCCCTCCAGCAGCAGCCATCCGCAGCCAGGTTAGTGCCTCCGCGCGTGCTTTGTCAGTCGCGCCGTACGTGTTTTGAAAGGGTGTTTTGAAGGCAGACTTGCTGTCTTAACTAACCGTTTCTCCAAATCGGACTAGTAGTCAGGTTTGATGAATGTCTGATGGATGTGCATGATCATGTGGTTGGTGCATTTGTTGAAGCTTAAGATGTACATAATTACTGCACCTTTCTTACTGAGCTAGTATATTCAGCCAGAAGTGGAAGTGTTTATTGCAGGACAGTCGTCGCCCGTGCGGATTCCCGGCGCTGCCTCGCCCACTCGTTCCCCGTTCGACCTGCGCAATTCGCCCGAAGCCGTCGGAATGGAGCGCTTGCAGAAGATGATCCTGGCGCACGAGATCGCGCTGAACGATCAGTTCCGCTTGGAGAATCTGGCTTCCCCGCCACCACCCAATACGTACGCGCAGCGTTTTGTAGTGATGCCGTTTCGCCACGCTGAAATCAATCGCAGCGAATCAGATTTCTCAGTACTGCATAGTAATATTTTGCATGCTGCAGAATGGAAGCGCACATCCGGGAAACTATTCACCAGGCATTCTGGGATGCGCTGCAGACAAGCCTCAACGAAATTCCGCCCAACTATTCCCACGCTCTGGTACAGTACTTACGAAAGAGCTGCAGGCTGCTAGTTATCTTACTGTTCTGCTGGTGTGTCTAGATTTTATTGGAAGAAATTCGCGAGGTGAGTGAATGGATTCTGGAAAGCTGGATTTGCGAATATCGATGGAAAATAATGAAGGATGGTGGTGTTGTAGACATTGCTGTCGTTTCTGCCAAGAAGTCAGAATTCCCTGTCGGAGCTAATCAAAAGCAACCTGGACATGGCTCATATCCGAGAACGGGCAGAACTGGGCGTGTTGGACATTAAAGAAGTTGCTGGATTTATCATCGAAACTATGGGCAAACTCTGTGCTCCCGGTAAGTTGATGTTCCTGAAAACGCTGCAGCTTTCTAAGAAATAGAAAGCGTTCGTATGGAAAAAACTTCGTACATGTTATTGATTGAGTTCGCAGCAGTTTTTTTATCAGTGGAGGACTGCAATCATATGATTCAGTCATCGGTGTATGTTGTTCTCCTAGATTTCTTGCTTTGCATTTGGCTTCGGAATGTTTTTACATGCAACTACCTTTGTTGAAGATTAGTCCTGCGTGACTTGACACTGATATTGCGTGTCTGTTTAGCGAGAGACGAAGAAATTCGGAAGTTGTCTACTATTGACGATACCGTGGAACTGTTCAAGTAAGCGCAGTTAGTGGACGTGTAGTGTACAAGTTTAATACCAGTACCGATTATTCTGCTGCTGTTATTGTAATAGATTGCAGCTGTTGTATATGTTCCACTGTGTTGGACCACTAATAACTGTATTGGAATTTAGAGAAGTTTTCCGCGTGCTGGAAGAGATGAAATTCGATATGCTGAACTTCACCTTGTCGCAGGTGAAACCCATCATTGACCAGCATGCCGTGGAATATGAGCAACAGATGTTTGATGAGTTCCTCGCTACACAACCGGGTATTAAATGCCTATAGAACAGCAACTTCCTCATATCAAAAAATCCATATTGGATTGATGTATACTTCATTATAGGTTGTATGTTCTCTTGTGGGTTGTAAACTTGTAATACAGATAAACGTCGCTTGGAAGTTCTTGCACACATACTATAATTTACATCACTATAGTATAATTTATAATATATTGCGAATTATGCGATTTTATTCTATATTTTGGTTAACTTGATGAACTGGACCAGTTTGGTGGCCTTGGGTTATTAGCATGCTGAAAAGTGATTGAGCTGACTTACAAAATTTATTTTCTAGATCCGCTTCATATCACTAAGGAGTGGCTGCGTGAAACAGCACGAGAACTCCTCAGAGAAGCCGAAACCCAGCCTCCACCGCAAAGCACTTCACAGAGCCTTTGGAAGGTAACTCCCACCCGGCTGCTGCGCACCGCCTTCTTGAATTTGCTGGATGGTCATTTGGAGGTGTATCCTGAAGTAAATTACCCGAAGACTGCGTATTTTACTTATTGTAGAGAACGTAGTATTTTATTTACTGTTGAAATTATTGTTGGATAATTTGGAGCTTCGTACATAGACCCTTGTGGCGGATATCGCACGGATAGAGGCCGTCCAGCTGCAGTTGGACATCGCTCTCCTGACCGCCGCTGTGATATTGGTAACATGGAATAATCTGGGGAGCTTTCTCGGTCGTTTGGCGGATTTCAAGAGCAAGTTAAAGGAAGAAGTCAGGATTCTATTGGAGACACATGCCGTACGTGGCGACGATACGCTGGGCCAGATAGCGGAGCATATTGTCGAGCAGGTGAAGAAAGCGCTGCCGGAAAATGTTGCGGGAGAAAGTCATTGTGCAACTGCTTTAGCTGGACTGAAGGAGCAGATTGTTGCGCTGACAAATGCGGATCACGCCGTTCGACAACTTCTAGGTACATTATTATGGCAAAACGACCAGCTTTTCTACTTATTAGTTTTGACAATTGTCAATTACGTAGTGGGATCTTGCTCTTTATATTACATAGTGGGATAGTATGAAGTTCTGAAAATAAATAATACAACCAAATGAACCAACAACTGCAGATATTTCTACCACAATGTCTGCAGATGTTGGTTCACTTGGTTCTGAAATACATTATAGTACATCTAATGTATTTTAATAGTTTTACATTGTCATACATTCACATTATAGTACATCTAGTATGCACGTTAGCATATTAAATTAAAATATGAATAATTAAAATATAAAGCATTGATTCGTGCAGTAGAAAGTGGTTTCTAATATCGGTTTCTTTCGATCATATCATTCGGCTTAGAATATTCATAGTGGTGTTCTTATCATATGCCTTAGATTTTAGAATACAGGTGTTTCTGAGATTGTTCGAATCTGCGACCAGCTTCACTTGTAAAGTTGTGTGTTGTGGTTTGCAGTGAAGCGACTAAAGGAATTCGGAACTGCGATCCTTACCTCTACAGCGCGCGGGGTTCCACCGGCACTGGCTGTTGTGGAAAACGAAGTGACTCATGCCATTGGAATGTTCGCCAAGATTGTCTCACGAAATCAGATGGTTTTCGGAAAGCATTACACGCGGATTATTTCTCAGTTGGCTGATGAACTTCACTTGCGGCAAGCTTCGTAGATAGCTTTAACCGTCCTGCTTCTTCTCTCCTGGTCGTGCAATCATTGATGTACTTGTACAGATTGAAATGGATTTTTTTAATAACGTGTGCTTTTGCGAATCGGTTTCTGTATTGTTTCCTATCCTGGTGTAATGTTTCTATCTTTCTACGAAGTTGATCATTTAATTATCGTAAATGCGGTGCGCTGATTGCGTTTAAAGTAAGAAATCTGAATGGAGAAAGCTGTATTTCTGATTTCTTTGGAGAATCTGCGGAAAACCTCTACCCGGCATTTCTTTGCGAAATTTTTTATTGACTAAAATTGCATACTACATAGAACAAAAAATTGCATATCTATATACAGTAAACTTCCCAGTGTCTGGTATTCGCCCGAAATCAGAGCTCACTTCCAAAAGCGAAGCAGCAGTAGTACTTACGTCATTCGTATCAGACGTTGGGCAGAATAGTACTCCTGATTTTAGTAATTTTTTGCCTAGAGTGATTTCTACTCAATGACAAATGCATGAACGTGTTTGGAATAACTTTATCTCTAATATTTGATTTATTTCCACGCTTTTAACGGCTTTATTAACCCAATGGTCCCAATCGATCTAATACGGCGCTACTTTGTTGTTTCAAATGAGCGGTCTTGTAGTAACCGTGGAGGGACGGCAGCTACTTGGCCCATCCGAAACGTGTCGGTGCCGTTTGAACTCGCAGATGCCGTTCGTTCACTTCGTTGCGTTCGTGCCATAGTGAAGAGTCTGAAGACAGCTGGTGCCACTTTTGGCAGCTTTCTCATTTTAGCCAGTTTTATTTTGGCAGCCGTCTGACTTCATATCGTTTAATCTTTCCCTGGCAGGCTGGCCATGAGCGCCTCTGGTTATTCGCAGCTAACGTTGCCACAGGTGCCTCCTGGTTACGTTCTGCAGTTTGTGTCAGTGCAGGAGGGGAGCAATAATCTCAGCGAATTCCTGCAGAGTTATCCTGCCGTCGCCAGCAGTAATCAAGTGGAGGACCAGGAAAGCCAGAGCAGTGAAATGAACGAGTTCTGTACGTGGTTGATCCCCTACTCAGTGAACGATGCTTTAGGCTTGAATGGTTTTGCTTTGACAGTCTGCACTACGTGCAACACGAATTCCGAAGAGCCGTGCTGGGATCACGCGGATGCCGTCAAGGACCATGCAGTCGAGTTGGCTGTCATTACGCTGCCGGACTGTCTCTTCTTCGACCATAAACCGGGAATGCCCGGTAAGAGAATACGTGGTTATATAATTATTACACAAATTTCTCCTGGTTAATAGCATGATGATTTGATTAACTGTAGCCTGTATTTGATGTTTACTGTGTGAAGAGTGTTTAGTGCAGTGTTTTCTGATGTTGCTGTTGTCTGCGTTGTCATTGTGGTTCGATTTGCTGTTTGCAGCGCTTGTTATTGTATCGGCAAGCATTGTATTAAGTATTAGTTTTTAATGATGAATTTTTCAAAATATTTAATATCACGCCACATTCATTTGGCAACGCAACCATGTTTTCATAAGTTTATAACAAAAACAAATTTAATTTTTACGTTATTTGTTTTTCATTTAATTAATTTTTAATTATAAGCCGATGCAGATACTTCGGGAATTTTAAACCCATCCAGTTGCACTATCGTAAAAGTGAAAACCTCGTGACTTAAATTCTGAGTGCGGACGTTTTCAGGTTGGTAATCAACTAATCAAAAAGGCATGCTGTTTGAAAAGCTGACTAGTAAAAGAAACGATTTACTATTTTTCAGATAAAGGTGTCTTTGCACGGACAGCCATCGCGGCGCAGACCGTCTTCGGTCCGCTGATCGCCCCCATCCGCAAGACCTTCGTGGAGGACACCACGCTGGCGCTGCCCTTCTCCGACCTGGGCAAGAAGGACGCCGTCTACTTCGACCTGCGCTCCAGCCACACCTGCAACTGGATGAAGTTCGTCCGCTTCGCCGAGACGCGCGCGCAGCAGAACGTGGCCGTCTGCATCCGCGACACCGACATCTACTTTGTCACCATCCGCTTGGTCCCGCCCCGCGAGGAAATACGAGTGGCTTTTTCTGGCAAATATTCCGCCGTTCTGGACGAGGCGTTCCTGCAGGAGAGAGTGATGCCGTTTGAAGCAGGTATGATTTTGCTTTTAGTGGTCGTGGCTGGGTTTCGTTCGTTGGAACTTAGGAAGAATCAGTGCTTCGTGTTGTTGTGCACAGTGGGAGGCCACCAGATTGTGGCGGTGTTGGCCAGTGGATCCCAGGAGGCTGCGGCACCGGAACTACCCGTTCCTGTGCCAAATTCCCCGCAAAAACACCCAACACCACGGAAAAGTGCGCATGCTCCTCAGACGACCGAGGAGCCAACTTCGAAAAGAGGACAGACCAGTAAGTGATTGCTCTTCACGGTCATACCTCTGCAAATTATGCATTCCAAGTCACCTTATTATTTTCAGTATGACAGTTTTTCTTCATGTTTGCCATAATTTTTTTCATCACTGGCGTCAGATGTACGCCAGTAATGAAAAACTTGTTTCGTTTCTTGGAATTGAACGTACGCGATTGCTGTTTTATGCTGAATTTTTTGCGGCGAATATTCGTCGTGTTTATACTTCTGAAACAGAATCAGGGATCAGTTATAGCGCAAAACATGATCTTAGTTTTGATTACGATTACGTTTTTGGATATGATCACTTTTGGTGTTAAAAAAGGGGTGCAAACGTATAAGTTAGGTGCATTTGAGATAAATATCTCTTTGATTTTTTTAGCTCCATCGCGGGCTTTTACGCGCCCCATGATCCCCGCAGCAAAAAAATCCGTTGTCCCTCCGTCTCGTTCTAGTGTAGTTCGCAAAAGTCAGACGCCATCCGAACCGATTCGTCTTCCGGTTAAACCCTCCAAGACCATGGAATCTGACCCATCAGCCGGCGCTGCGCCACAACCCACCGTGTCTCCGTTGAGCGTAACCAGCTACGGATTGCGGTCGAAACGCGCCAGCATCCCAGCGGAAGAATTTTTTTTGGATAGTCGCGGGAAACCCGTTGTGTTTAATGGATCGTATTCGGACACCGTGTCTCCTGCACCCTCTCCAGCGCAAGGATTACGCGAGAGGGCGTCCCGGAAGAGGAATAAGGTTGTGGTGGATGTGTCTGTCGATGAGCGCGATGAATCTATGGATATTGTTCCCATTACACCAAAGAGTAGAAACAATCCACCGCGGGTTTCGGAGAGGTCTCGAAGAGATGCGGGTGGGAAGCGAAGTAAAAGTGTTGCAGAGAGAACGGTTAATCTCTTTGGACATAATTTCGAGGATCATTCTGAAGATGACGCGGATTGGGCCATGACTGACAGTAGCACTCGAAGTAAGTGAATAGAGAAACGTACACGGATGTTAGAGGAAAGAGCATTACATATTCTTTTTCAAACAAAGGCAACAGAGATGCACCAAACATAGGGCTTGTGTCCTATTTTTTGTATTTTTGGGAATACTACTTGAAGTTAATGATAACAACAAAAACTGCTACCCTAGATGCTTAAGAGTTAAGATAATACAGAACGTAACAGGACTGTTGTAATACAATTTAAAATACCCATAAGAAAAATTTAGCAACTGAACCGAACCATTAAAACGAAGCATTGTATGTTGAAAGTACTCTGTAGAGGATGTCACATTGTCTAGCGAAAGTATGAATTACGAACCACCAATCTGTCTCGTGACGTGTTGCTGAGAAAGATAGATAAAAATCGTTAGCAATATATCGGTGGACATATTTGAACACTAAATGAAATTGTTTTTGAAGGCCGTCGTTCTTCATTATCACGGAGCACCGGCCTTTCTTCGGACATTAGCAGTTCGGCCATAACCGAATCGGAGCGATCGTTTCCGGCTCAGAAGCGTTCTCCGGCAAAAACACATCGAAAAGCAGCCAGCACGCAGAATGGCTCCAGAACGCCAACGAAAACAGTGGTCCGACATTCGCCGGAGATTGACAATGCAGTCTGTATTGAGAGCCGTGAAGGTAGCGAAGAAATCGAACAAGTGCCTGCGCCGAAAAAAGCGAAAGTCGTGCCTGTCCTGACGAATGTGAAGAGCGGAAAAAAAGCAGAAGTCCTGATGAAGTGATGACATGATTGAATTGTTCCTTCCATTGGTGCTGGAGATTTCAGTACAAGTGAACGGTTATTGGTGATGGTCAGTAATCTGCTCAGTTTTAGCAATATTTTTGTATTCGCAAGGCTCTGTTTTATAATCTCTTAAAATTCCTGCCGGAATCTTGTCCTTAAAATTTCTCTTTTATTCTTTGTGAGAATGAACTGCACGTTCTTATTTGGTACAGAATTAATGCTTAAGTAGTGGTATTTGTTTGTAAAGCGATTTCCGTCTCTGTCTGCAGTAACGTGGTTCACTTGGTGAAAGTTCCTTGAATATTTGCTCTTTGGTTGTGTTACTGTGAGGAATAATTGGAGATGTGGAATGTGGAAACGTTGTCGACTTATCCGCGTGTCTCGTTTTTGATACTCGTACAGTAGTAACGCATCGAAAGCCATTACGAAAATTCAAAGTTTGCACTCACTTTTTTTCGAACGGATGTAACGTTAGCAGCAAGCAGTAAGCGCTATACTGGATAGGTTAACAAAATTAATGCGAACCGTTTAATACTTAACTGAACAACAAATGCGTATATAACAAATGAACTATGTAATAAAATAATTTTCCCTGTCAAAATTTCATACATTTTTGCACTTTAACAGTTCAGTATAAGTACTTTAACAAAACTACTTCTTAATTCTTACAATTAAAGTACGCGTAAACGCCGTAAAGTACTACTGTAATCTAATCCAAAACTATCCAATCTACCGGTACCTACGGGACGGGACGTACGGAGGTTGACTACGTAGTACGTACGGCGTCGTATGGTAATAAAAAAGGCACGCAGCACCTCAAAGATGGCGCTCGGCACCGCACACGCGACGCCTACCCCTGCTGCAACGGTTCGTTACGCGAAGGTTCTTTTGATTTTCACATTTTTACTTTTCGGTGTTTAGAATTTGGATGCAGCCGCAGGATGCGTAATTTTTGTTAGCCTTTCATCCTTTTCATTTTCGATTTCCAGTTTTTTCGTCTTTTAGTTTTGCAGTATAAGAAAAACTGCAATAATACTTCTTCAAAAATGCCGAAGATGAGCCTACGATCCAGCACGCGGGCAGCCGCCCGTGTTGCGCCGCCTGTTGCCGTAAGTGCAGCAGCGGCCGGATCTGCGCCTGTGGCTGTCATCATCGAACAGTCGCCACAATCCCCGCCGCCGTCGGCCGCCAACATCGCAGGAGATCCCGAACCTTCCCTGGGTCTGCCGCAGGATATCAGTGCTGCTGTACTGGAAGAGGCGTTCTGTACGTGGCAGGATGTCGTCTTCGTAGCTTAAGCCTGTTTTGATCTGCTGTGGTTTGATGACTTTGATCAACAGGGTGCGATAAATGCGTAAAGTATCTGGATGAACCATGCTGGGAACACGCAGCTCCGCTCAAAGATCAGAATGTCGATCTGGCTACGTCTACGCTTCCGGACTCGTTGGTTGTCGAGCAGCGCGAAGGCATGACAGGTATGAGAGAATGCATATTGTTTGTTTGAGTTTCCGTTTTGATCACGGCAGGTTTGTGATTCGTTTGACGTTTTGCGCTGATATCGTTGGCAGGAGTTATAAGATAGCCATTTAGACATGCCCAGTAAAAAAGTTATATTTTAAAAATAGAGGATTTTAAAATGAATAAACTGACAATAGAAAGAGCAGGAAATGAAGGGTTGATAGTGGACAGAGGACAGGCAAGAGGAGAGGTGTAGCCGGGCGTGGATAGCTGGGGAGGGCGCCCCTGTGTTCGAGTAATTTTGGACTAGGGGTGTGTAGATGTCACTTCGGTATCCTGCTCGTCACGAATCACAAGCGAGTAGCGACCGAATCTTCATTACATTGTTGGTCCATCCGATCGGCGATATTCTGCTCGGTTAAAAAATTGACTTTAAGAAGCGATTTCTTTCAAATTCTGTGAAATGTACTGTGGTAACTGGTAAGTAATTGAAAAGTTTTAGTGCGGTAACAGCTGCATCAGTGACAAAGCATACCGATGGCCGATGTTAGAAATAGTTAGTGTTTTTTCTCTGTGTAAGCGGGTAAGAATTAAGATTAATTTGTAAGAAATCGTCAGATTGCCTTGTAATTTTTGCAACGATAAGGCGATCAGTATACTGTACCTATTAGTGCAGGAGTTCTTTTATGCGGTGTTCATCAAACCGTGCCTTGTATTTCCGGTGCTGCAGTTGCCGCTACTTGCGCAGTATTATGCGGCTGCGCGCTGGCTCGATCGTTGCTAATTTGCTATACTCTGGATTTCGGCCAATTTTCACCTGGTCATAAGACATAAAATGTGACTTTTTCCAGAGAAAGGCATATTTGCGACTTGTGATGTGCCGCGTCAGACCCTCTTCGGACCTCTGGAGGCGCCGATAGGGGATGAGCCAAGCTGTTTTGCGGTACCGGACGAGGAAAGCGGTGTCAAGTATTACCAGCTGTCATCCGACGAAGGCGTCAACTGGATGAAGTTTGTCCGCTTCGCAGAAGGGAAGCACGATCAGAATCTGAGTGTGTTTCTGCGCGGTGCACAGATCTTCTTCGTCAGCGTGAAAGACATCGCTGCGCAGGAGGAACTGCGGGTGTGGTATTCAAAAAAATACATGGATTCCGTTGGACATCTCTTAACCGCGTTGCCTCACACAGGTAAAATGGGTGTATTATAAAGATATTTCCGCTGTTTGGTTAGCATATGGGATCTCATTTTGCTTTTGAGCTTTGCAGTCTGAGTTTTGTTTTTTGCCTCATAAGTTTGGTTAGTCACTTTCAAGTTTAACCGATTGGCTTGGCTTTTTCTAGTACAAAATGGTCTGCCTTCTGAGACTGCGCACGATCCCTTGAGGAACATGGGTTTTAGTCAGGGAGAATTTTATTGGCGGCGTTCTGTCGCGTTGGTTGTGCATTAGGCATTTAGGCTGGCGCTTTATACTGTAAATCACTAACGCGCGCATCAATAGTGGCAGTGGAGACATTGTCTTTACCTTACAATTTGCCAATTATTTTTGTCGTTGTTTACTCTAAAATGAAAACATTGCGAGATGTTATATGTGGAATATATATATATATTGCGAAATATCGGTTGTGGAACCATCATCGCATTGAGTATCCGCTTAGCTGCTGTATCTGATTTCAGTTGCGGTGGTGGAGGCAGACGATGATGTGACAATGGAGAGCACCGAGGAAGACGAAGTTAGCGAAGAAGAGACCATGGATGAAGAAGCTGTCCAGGAGCCTGAAGCGGAGGATGATAATGGATACGGAGAGCGTGTGACCAATACTGAAATGGTCACCGAATCCACCGACCCAGGTAACGGAGATATATCATTATCACATGCATTTTTATGTATTCACAATTTCACATACGAGATTTTTTGAAATATTCTATCATGCAGTAGCAGCAAAACGATAGATTTGAGTCTGCTTAATGTTGGTAACGTTGATATGCCATACACATTTAATAGCACCGATTATCGAGTAGTACTGCAGTATTTCGACATTTCTAACACAGTATTTTGGTTTTGACCTGTTTTGTCTTTCGATTGAATACGACGAAAAGTCGCATGTTTTGAACTGCAACCGCAGTTTTTTCTAAACCTGGTTCATGGTCAGGACTCCAAGAGTGTCGCTAGTGTTTTGAGCCATAATAAACTAAGTGCGTAAAGGAGAACCAAGCCTTTTAAAGGATGAATTCATTTAACGGACAATTTAAACAGTAATCCGCATATGGCTTAGGTAAGTCATGACTCCAGGTAGCAATAATTCATCGCAGGTGCAGTTGTATATGCTAATCGAATTAACGGTTCATCATTTATGCCGTTTCTGTTTGCAGATTACATCTCTAAAAAACCACCGGTCATTATTCAGCGTATTATCCGCGCCAACCGTCCAAAATTTCCCTCCCGCTTAGCCACGGGCCCCTACACGCCCAAGATCGAGCGGGTGATCATGAAGAAAACCCCCCATCTCCTCCTGCAACTGAGTCCCATGCCGCCGCCCAAACCCCGCTCCAACGGCCGGCCCACGCGCCACCCCTACCCCTTCGGATGTGCGGACTGTGGACTGCACTTCCGACTGGACGAGCTCCTCCAGCTGCACTTAATGGCTCATGTCGCCGAGGAGGATCGCCTCGAGATGGATCAGTACCACTGTCCGCAGTGCGGTATCACCCGCAAGAATTTGACCAATATCATCAAACATGTCAAGTCGCATTCCCGAACGGCGGAGCAGCTGGAGTCGCGGAAGAAAGAATGCCCATATTGTGGTCGGGAGTTTGTTAATCTGCAAAAACATCTGGAGACTAACCATAAGGATAAGATTATCATCACCGTGGAAGGCGATGAAGCGGATGAGTGCCGGTGTAAAGAGTGCGGCTTCCAGGCGCGGACAAAGCAAGCCATCACTAATCACCTTAAGGTTAGACGAATAGGTGTAAAACTAGTGGTGTAAAATGTTTGCATAATCGCTACTTCAATTAATTAATAAAGGCTAAAGTTGAATGAAGTTACCTAGAGCTAAAAGTGCGTTGATTTGAAATAAGCGTTTATAAGTCTACCATTAAGCTTCATAGTTCATACCAAACTTACAATTTTCTGCAGATAATTGTTATACTTGCATGAGTATGTACTTGCATGTGCTGGTACCGGAATTGGTGGAATGGTCATAAAATATTTTACGGGTCGAAATTAAAGGTGAAGTGGTGTACCAGATGCTGGTCTTTGACAGAAACATCTTGAGCCAGAAAAGAACATCCGTCGCTGTGTCATCTGCCAAGACACCTTTCCTTTCACCCCGGTCGGCGCCACCGACCTGCAGAAACATGTGGAGACGCACATCGTTGATGACTTGTTCCCTTGTGCCGAATGCCCTAAAAGGTACACAACCTACCGCGGCCTAACCGACCATTTCGGCACTAACCATGATCCATCGCAAAAGTGCGCCTGCGAGATCTGCCAGCGCGAGTTCATGACCAGATGGCGGCTCAAGCGGCACATGCTATCGCATTCCAACATATTTAATTTTATGTGTGAGTTGTGTGGGAAGCAGTTCAAGAGTAAGGGGCAGCTGCAAAAACACAACAAGTACGTGCATATTGGCCTGAAACGGATCCGACCCAGTGAGAAGGGACTGAAGAAAAATTACAAGGAGCGCTTACGGCAGGCCTATGATTATTCTCCCTTTAAATGCCATGAATGCAAACTGGGCTATCGGCAGCGCGGGATGCTGCTGAATCATGTCATGGCCAGACATCCAGAGACTTCACTGGATACTATACCGGCCTAAGTTAACGGATCTTTTGTGTTTACCTTCTTTTTCATTGGATCTATTTAAACTTGGTAGCACATCCGCGTTACTTTTCCAAGTGGATTTGCTATGACAAAGAGGAAACGAACGCTCTTATTGTGCCAGTGGATCGCTAGATCCAGAAATGATTAATTTAATATAATAAAGGTATATTTCTGGCAAAGCTATTAGTATATTAATATCAAAATTTCCCACAAATCGATCTTGCAAAAAGAAAATTAAATTACGGAAATACAGTAAGTAACTGAAAAAGAAGTGCCTATAGCCCACTGCAACCATTTACTGAAATACTTTATGCCATAATAATATTACTAAACTAATAATATTTAGTTTAGTAATATTATGTTTATACTTACTTATTTATGCCCTATTCTTATTTATCAAGAGCAGGCAACCGGATTAACGGGACAGTCGGGGACTTCAGCTGTTTAATGACTGTTACTGTAGCTAACATAAAAAAAGTTCTTCTTGCAAGAAAAGCGCGCGATATAAAGGAGAACTGCGAGTAATGCAGAGAAAATCAAGTATTTATTCCCTGATTTCCTGGGAAGTGGCCAACGGCTACAGTAGAGCGTTACTGTAGACTCGTAGAGTGTAGAGGGGACTAGAGGCTACTGTTAGTGAGTATTTGCTGTCATATAACGCGTTCCCGGTGGGTGGTGGCTGGCACTTGCGCCGCTTTACAGCGATGGATTACGGTGAAGGCTTGCTCTTTCTGCGCTTGTTTTTGACAAAATTATGACAGCATTCTTAAATTTTGATTTGTAGATTTTATCAGTGTGACAATATTTAGACATAGGATCATTTTTCATACCGCCAAAAAGTGACAATTTGCAGCTTGTCGAGCAGGCAAAGATGTCGTATCATCGCTAATGTGCAGTGGTACTCGGTTGGTTTTCTGACTCTTCGCTCAGAGCTTTTTCCATTTGGCCAACCCTGGCGTGCAGTAATGGAGAGTGAGAGTGGTTTTGAGTCTGCACTGCTGCCAGCAACTGAAGTTTCCTTGACGTTAGACGCGGACAGTGGTCTCGCTCCGGTGGACGATGGACAGTCAACGGCTGCTCTTTTGAATGAATTCCTGAAGGGATTTCCTCAGGTTGCGACTAACGAGCCAAATCTCCCGAAATCGGTCGAGAACGCATCGGCTGGCATCTGTACGTGAACCTGAGTCTGCATATTGTTGAGTCTGCGTTTGCTTGTGATTAAGGCGCTGTCAGAAACTTGTCAAAAGTGTTTGGTCACGACGATCAGCAGAGAATCGTGATTGTATCACGGTTGGTTATGATTTTGCTGTATAACAGGGTGCGATGGATGCGGTCGACTGGTTGAGGAGCCGTGTTGGGAGCATGCGTCAGCGGTGGAAGATGATGTGGTTGATTTGTCGACGGCCACATTGCCTCCGTGTTTGGTTATCATTAGGAAGGAAGACTCCCAAGGTTTGCCACGTTTGGGCTGTTTCTTATGTCCACGACAAAATTGATTTGATACCTGAGTTATTTTTGGAGTTTATTGTTTGAGTTGAGTTTATAATGGAGTTATTTTTTGAGGTTATAACTGACATAAAGTAATTGATTTTGAGGTCGCATTTTGGTGTGTACGAGAGAAATAGGGAAGCACGACGTTTGTAACAATTTTAGCAGTTTAGTTAACAGTTTTCCGTAACAGTTTTAAGATGAGTATACAGAAGAATGCAGCGCTTATTTGTTAGATGTCGTAGGTAAAGGGGATACCGATTCTGACTGGATGTAATTTACATCCATACTTTACATCATGTAAAGTATACCTTGCGGCTTGCAGTAATTGTTGTGATTCGCAGAAATCGGCGTGTTCGCCCGCGCTCCCATCGCCATGCAGTGCCGTTTCGGGCCGGTCGTGGCGCCCGTGAATAGTCATTTCAGCGAGGAGACCACACTGGCGCTGCCCTTTCCCGAGCTTGGGAAGAAGAACGCGGTGTACTTCGACATGGCGGACGACCGCAGGTGCAATTGGCTGAAGCACGTCCGCTTCACGCACAACGCCGCCGAGCAGAACCTGGCGGTGTATCTCTACCAGGGCGGCGTGTACTTCGTCTCTGTGAAAGCCGTGGCGGCCGGCTGCGAGCTGAAGGCGGCCTATTCGCCTCAGTATGCGGCGCTCTTGACCAAGAAATTCCTGGATGTCCGTGGATTTCACACTGGCCCGGACGCTGCAGGTATTGACGAAGTGATACACTTTTAATGGGCTTCATGTTTGATTTCGCCGGTTGGAAATAACTTCAGCTTGGCATTGTGCAAGTTAGAAATTCCGTTTTATTCTCGATAAAATTGGCTAGGAGGGTACATGTTTTAAAAACCGCTGTGAATTTCGTGTGCAAGAAAATGGTACTTGAATTTGCAGTAATCATGGGGTATGTACAAACAGCGCGGAATTTAGGTGCGAATGTAATGTTTTCTGATGTTTTGCAGATCACAGACCCTCTGCAGCCCTTTCGAAGATTTTACCGGTTAATTATTATATGCAAAGTGAGGCAGGGAGAAGTCGTGCGAGTGTTGATCAAATGGAGGATGCCGATACTAGCCAGAAACCGGACAGTGGTAGGTCATCGGAGGTGTTTGGTTGCAAATTATGTAGTGCGACGATCATTTTTGGACTTTTCTTGTTGTGATTGGGGTGTATCTGTTGCGGATGATTGTTTTATTGTATTACCCTATATAATAATTTCATGACTTATGGACTCATTTATGGACTATGGCGTAGTACTTGCTTGTCGATCGGCATTGAATACGATTACAGTGGTATGAGTACTGATCGATCGAAAATGTGAGGTGATACTTATTACAGAAATAAGTGGCTTACAATTTACAACTAAATGAGTTTTAATTTCCATTTTCCTTGGATTCAGATGGAAAATTTCTGCGGTTAAAGTAAATTCTTTGTGTAACATACTGTATAAGTGGCGATTAATGGAGGACTAAAAGAAGCTTTATAGAGCGGTAGCTAACAATCGGTGGGTGAACATTTTGCAGGAGAGAGCATGGAAGAAGCACCAACTGGACGCTATTCTCTTCGCCGGCGGAAACCATCCCATCGAAGTAATTCGCCTGTTGGTAGAAGTGAGAAAGTGGTTAGCAGCGTCGTCGATGATGAAAGGGAATCCGGAACCAAGGATCAGGAATCGCACCATGACGACGAAGCGCAGAAAGAGCCCGAATCTGAACCGGAATACACCCCCAAACCCACTGCCTCTGGCAGTCCAAAGAAACCGGGTCGAAAGCGGAACGCCTCCACCGGTCGTGTCGAGCACGTCAAAGTCAAGAAGACCGCCGCATTACTCCAGAACATCCCCAAAGCCCCGCAGCGCAAACCGCGAACGGCGAAACTGGATATGCCGTCGTTTTTGTTCAAATTCAAGCACTCCTGCAAAGAATGTGGACTGCACTTCCGCTCGGCGGAGTTGTTGCAGCTGCATAATCTTTTGCATCTTCCGGAAGAGCAGCGAGGCGGGGATGTGGAGCGCAAGTGTCCAAAGTGCGGGATTGTGCGGCGGAACGCGGAGATCATGGTCAAGCATGTCAGGCAGCACGCTCGCACCACTGACCAACTGGATCCCGAGCGGCAGAAGTGTCCGTTCTGTCACAAGTACTACGTGCATTTGCGCAGCCATCTGGATCTCACACACCGTGAACAGTACCGGCAGGGACCGGATTTGGATGAAACGGGCTTGAAGTATCAGTGTGATGTGTGTCAGTTGAGATTTCGAACAATTCACGGCCTGAAGAGCCATTCGCAGGTAATTAAGTGGATAACGGTGAAGTGAATACGAAATTGAGCATTGGAAAGTTTGGAAGTTAACGGGCAGATTTGTTTAAAAAATATATAGTTTTGTTGATGTCTAGATTTTTATCTACTTGATACCTATCAATAGAAGTATCTCTGATGTGCGGAACAGAGTAATGGCCATTGCACTACGTTTTCGCATGCATTTGAAGTGGTGACGGGTGTGGTCACTGGTGTGTTTGGGTTACGAGTAGCGGCCTATAGTTTGTTTGGGTTACGAGTAGCGGCCTATGGTCACTAACTATCAGTCAACCTGTGTTGCAGACACACGTGGAAAACGGCCCCAAGCTGAGCCAGTGCTTGATTTGCAACGAGTATTTCAAATACTCCGAGCTGCAGAAGCACACTGAATCGCATGTTGTGGAGGAGCGCTTCCCCTGTCCCTCGTGTACGGGAACCTATCCCACCTACAAAAGTCTAACCCGCCACGTCCAAGCGGCCCACGACCCTTCCAAAGTGCTCATCTGCCACCTCTGCCAGAAGGTGTACGTCACACGCTCCCGACTCAATCGGCATATGCTGTCGCATTCCAACACCTTCGCCTTTATCTGTGACCACTGTGGGAAGCAGTTCAAAATCAAACAACAAATGCAGCGTCATATTGAGCGGGTGCATTTGAAGATCAACACGGAGAAGTTAAAGGTGAGTTTTTGAATACCGTAGTCGGTTTACATAGCTTTGGTGCCAGCTTTTCGCGAATAATGTTTATTGTTGTTGTGTAAATTTACCTTTTTTCACAGACTTTCGTTTATCAAGTACACTTAAGTATTATCTATGTTGATCTGGTTTAAATTTTCATTGCATGTTCGGGAAGTGTTTCTTTCTGTTGGCCGCGTTATTTATGTAAAATACTTGCAGTACGCGATACAGCAGGGCGCAGGATAATGGTGGTTTTTGTGTATAGGCAGCGGAAAGAGGAGAAGATCCGAAAGACAAGGACGCAAATAAGGCACCGTATCTGCGACCGCGGTTGAGAATGGCTTTCGAAGAGTTCCCGTATAAGTGCCAGGAATGCTCCTTGGGCTATTTGCAACGGGGAAAGTTAGTTAACCATATCTTAATGCGGCATCCGGAAATGAATTTGGATGATATTCCCGCTTGAGCGGCGTCTGTTTTAGCCTGTCTGAATTGCTTATCAATATCATCGGCGCAATGTTTTTGGTGATAGCAACGATTATGACTTGCCTTTTGTTAAAAATAAACTTTCAAGTTAATGTCATCCTGTAAATTTGTAAATTAAACGGCATCATGGAAACTAAGTCTGTGTTTCTAATAACTAGGCACGGTAATTCGATTTGTTACTGAACATAATTATGCAATTGCATCATTGCGATTACATATTTCATTCTTTAAAAACTCAGGTTTGCATTTTCCGGCTTGTTTTGCTTTTCTAGGGTAGTAACTAGTTAACTAGTAACCGGCACCAAATGCTTACTTTTCTTAGCGTTTGCAAACCATTCATCATACACCAATCCAAAAAAACCAAAAATAGGACATGTCATTGTCCGATTGTAGGCAGCCACACTCACGACATGTAAGTATCACCAAGGTGGATAAGGGATAAACCCATCCACCTTGGTATCACTTTCCTGAGAAATGCGGTAGGAGCTGGTCAAACCGTCAAATACTTACTGTACTCTTGCCGTGTAAAAAATTAGTATTAATTTAAATAAATATACGGCAGAGTTATACGAAACAGAGCGTTTCCGGTGATATTCCTGTAGCCGCAGTGGTAATGGTCGAGGGGCGGTTGCGACGCACCGATCACGCCGTCGACTGATCTGTCTTTTTGCAAGGACCAAGCCGTGTTGCAAACGCTTCCGTCTTTACTACCAATTCTCGCGGCGAACTTTACAACATTTGAATTTCCGACTTCCCCTCTGTTTACCTTTTTTCACATTTTTTAAGAACGTCACAAGGCCGAAGGTGGTAAATTATCATTAAGACATGTACCACAACTTCGTGCGCATGTTCATACAACTTAAACTTTTTGCGAAACAGCTTCAACAGCCAAGGAGCGGTTCGCCAGCGCCACAGTTTATCTGTGTTGGACTGCGCAGTATGCGCATGGTCATCTTCCAGCTGTGCTGATTATGATTTTTGAATGCTTGATGATGCTTTTATTTGTCATTGCACTGTGATTGGATACTGGGTGATTCTTGTACTGTTAGCGCCTTGCGGACAAGGAGCTGGTTTGCAATGGACGGGGAGACCGTGATCCAAACAACGGAGCAGACGGCGATCGAAGAACAAATTCAGGAGGAATCCGCTGCTGCTATCTGTGAGTAATGTATAGGTCGATGTCAAGCATTTTCTTCAGCGACTGATACGGCAAAAATTGTGCAATGAACTGACGCCAGCTGGGGTGGATTAGGGTGCGAAGGATGCAAGGAAATGCTGGAGGAGCCGTGTTTGGTGCATGCTGCTTCCATCGAGGACCAGGCCTTTGATTTGACCACGGCCACGCTGCCAGCATCGCTATCTTTTGACCAGCGCGAAGGCATGATTGGTACGTAGCACGGCTTAACTTTTCATACTCGAAACGTTTCATCAAAATTAACCGTTAAAATTATTTTCTGTTTGCGAGTATATTTTGTTACAAAATGTGAAAATGGTTCTTTTTTTACGATTTATTACGTATTTTAATTATTAGATACGTAATAGATCGTAAATAACCAGAATAGTTAAAAATTTAGTAGCATATACAATTTACACGTAACTTTACTTTATAAGTAGTTAAATTTCATGGTAATTACTAATTAGGTTGATTTTAGATTTTGTTCAGATCAGTTACCGAAAAGCGCACGAGTTTACACGAAGCCTGAAGAGTTTAATGTAGTATTTTTTGAATTTCGTGATATTATTAGTTTTTAGTTTATTCCTAACGTTTGATTGTGTGAACATGTGAGCGAGTGATCTGTGCCCGTTCACTCGCGGTAGTTTTTTCACAAAGTAGTTTATTATTTAAGATTTTTGTCGTAGCCGTGAGGTTTGTTTTCACTTTGTTTTAAAATTTGAATTACTTGGTTTTGCAGCCCACGTTCGTTGTTAGTGCTGAGATTAAATCTGGACTGTCATTATAATAATTATGTTGTTTCTTTATTCCAGTACTTATGTGTTGTTATTCCAGTAATTATGTTGTTTCTGCATTCCAGTACTTATGTGGTGTTATTCCAGTAATTATGTTGTTTCTCTGTTCCAGTAGTTTTCCGCATTTTGACGACATTCATTATTTTATTGTATGCCAGTCGGCACGAAATGATAGGAATCTCGGCTTTGCGGAGCGGTAACAAGTTTTGCGGTGTCGTTGTAGAGCGGGGCGTGTTCACCCGTGTCCCCATCCCCATCTCGACGTCCTTCGGTCCGTTGATGGGCCCGCTGTACGAAGATCCCGACGATGAGATGCGCTTCGCTATTCCCACGGAGGACGGCGGTCGCTACTATCACTTGGCCGACGACAAATTCTGCAACTGGATGAAATATGTCCGGCTGGCGGAAACGGAGGCCGAGCAGAATCTGACGGCCTGTCTGCGCGATGACACCATCTATTTCATCAGCATCCGCGCCATTCCCCCCAGGGAAGAACTGAAAGTCTGGTATTCCAAAAAGTATGCCAACATCATGCAGAAACCACTGAAACCGGTGCCTCTCTACACCACCGAAGGTACTGCAAAGTTTGCTTGTTAACTTCAGTATCTTGAACGAACGTCTGGTTAAAATTGTAATGAAAATTTGTAATGCAGTCCAGGATACCGCTTTCAAATTTTTAATTTAAAATAAAAAAATTTATGAATATTTTGCTCCGTAAATTATGCATACTCGCATGCATTAGTAGCCTTAAATAATGCAATAGAAAGTATCCATGAGCCAGAATCTATTTCTTCGTCATCGTACTACGATACAGTTGTAGGCGGGCGCTATCATTGGGCGGTCGTCGGCTCGTTCGATCCTTGCTCTTGCATTTTTTTCCACAGTCCTTATCAGTCTCTTCAATACTGGAATGACTAAAATTCTCAGTGAACGTTGTTTACGATTTATATTTTAGGAATGTCGTGATCTCTACAGGTGTTATAATTAGGTACCTAAACCATAGCATTTGGTTCTGACTTCTGTCTCAGTTGTGATTTAAAAATATTTTTTCAGAGGTTACGGTTGCCGTCACCGTCACGGAGGTTCAGGAGAGCACCGAGGCTCAGATTGTTACTACGCAAGAAACAGTAGTTTCTGCGCCAACAGAAGCGGAAATCGTTCCGGCGCCCATGAGCGAAATGGAAGTCAATGTACTGGATTTTTTCCTACAAAGGCCACCTGAACAGACTGTTACAGGTATTAGTCATACAGATAGCTGCTACTGTTTGGCAGATACCGGGAGTTTTTGGAACGTTGTAACGTTTGTTTCGTTGGATCCAATAGAATCCATTGTCCAGGAACCGGTGAAAGAAGCGGCGCCCGTATTGCCGCTTCCCAGTCAGCCGCTCACGCCCCAACAGACGCGCTCATCCACTAGGCTGCGTAATAAACGCGCTTCGGTCCTTGAGCATTCGGAAGAAGCTGCAGGTTCGAGCTTTTTTTCGTATAGTTTATTCGTGTTCAGTATTGTCCAAATTAATAAGAAATCGATTTTGAGGTTTCTGCATACAGTAGTTTCCGTGTTGGCTCCGCTTTTCACTTCCTAGCGTCGTTTAGAAATGCGTCTTGCCACTGGTTATTCTGCTTTGCTCTACAGCTGCGTTTCATTTGTAAATACTGGTTATTCTGATCTAGTTATCCAGTTCACGTGCAGTATATCTGTTTGCCATTAATTTTGTGTCTGAGGAATCGATTCAATCGAAGCATGTTGAGGCGCTTCTGTATGTTTAATTGTACAATTAGAAATAGTAAGCACTAAAGTACTGTATTTTGTTTTTCGCCTGTAGTTTGGGCTTTTGATTAAGCGATTGCGGATAGATATTTATCACATACCCGGGTAGTCAAACAGACTTCAAACTAAAGTTACGCATTTGCTGTTCGCATTTACTTAGCCTTAACTGTTTATTCATTCGAGCTTTTCTTTTTTGTAGTAACGAGCGCTCCCACTGAGCCGGCATCAGCTGCACTGTTAGCGCCTTCAGAACACACCCATGCTGATGCGGTTCTGACAGCCTGCGACAAGGCCGACAATCCAGGTAGCCGGGCTTCTTCGCTGTGAGCCAGTCAGTGTTTATTAGCGGTTTTCGTTTAGATTCCAGCACTGTGGAATCCGCATCTCCGTCCAAGGTGGTAAAAGCAAAGCCCTCCAAGAAACGCAACCTGTACATCGACGAAGAGTACGAGTTCACCCCGTCCAAGATCGTCAAGGTGGAACGCGTGAGTAAATCACTCAGTGCCTACCGCGCTAATCTGGTCCGACGTCCCCGGGAGAGCTCCAGCGACGAGGCCGGCAGCCGGAAGAAGCGCCACCGCGGCAAGAAGGAGTACAACCCGGCACTGGACTACCCCTTTGCCTGCGAGGATCCCTGTGGGATCCGCTTCAAGACACAGGAGCTGCTGGATCTGCACAACCTGCTGCATCTGCCGACCGAGAAGGTCAAAGATGAAGTACGGGTGTGTCCGCACTGTGGCTATAGTCGGAAGGATGTCACCATCATGTCGCAGCATGCCGACACCCACGGGAAGACGACGCAGCAGCTGGACCGACTGTGGCAGGAGTGTCCGTACTGTTTGAAGCACTGGGTCCGCTTGAAGGATCACATTAGGTACAAACATCCCGAGGAGTTTGAGGCCGCGCTGAAGAGCGTCCCAGAGAGTGATCTGCCCTTTGCCTGTGATAAATGCCCCAAGAAATTCTCCACCGAGCTCGGTTTGCAGCAGCATAGTCGGGTAAGGTTGCCTTGCAGAAGAAATATATTTATTTGTAATCTGGAGGCTGGAACAGATTTTTCATTCATCAACATACGTACTTAAGTACTTGTACAGTGGTTGGATTCGGTTGTCTGTAATCGAAGTATTGATTTTATAAAACCATTTATTGTACTTCTGTCCTTATATAAAGTTAAAAGATCGCAGTGTAGTGGCTGTCATTCTTGTTGTCATTTTAATTGGTTAACCCTCTATTCCTCCGACGCTTAAAAAAGTGCAGATTTAACATTCCTGCTTTTTCATTGTTTCATCTACTTATAATTGTATTAAATGGGCTGTGCCTGCGTTATCAACTTGAATAGATAATATGAACTGAGGATCTCTCATTCCCGTGTAGGCGCACTCTGGCTACAAGCCGGTGTACCGTTGTGTGATCTGCCAGCACATGTGCAAGAACGCCAACGACCTGCACTACCACGTCAACAGCCACCTGGTGGACGAGTGCTTCGTGTGCGACCAGTGCGACAAGCGCTACCCCAAGTACCGCGCCCTCACCAAGCACCTGTCCGAGTATCACGACCCCAACAAGGAGTCGGCCTGCGAATACTGCGGCAAGGCCTTCCGCAACAAGACCATGCTGACGCAGCACCTCAAGAGCCACTCCTCCGTCATGGGCTTCGAGTGCGAGACCTGCGGCAAGCGCTTCAAACTCAAATCCCACCTCAACAACCACATTGGCTGGGTGCACCTCAAGAATAAGGTAGACAAGCGGAAGGTGTTGCGGGAAGAGGGACGGGCCGATGAGCTGAAGAAGGACTATCTGGGGCCGCGACGGCGGATGGATTTCGAGCAATTCCCCTACAAGTGTCTGGAGTGCACGCTGGGCTACTTGAAACGCGGCATGCTGGTCAATCACGTGCTGTCGCACCACCCGGACATCCCGTTGGACAGCATACCGGCTTAACGGGGATTAGGGAATCAGTCGGATTTCGCAGTTTCCAGTAGCTTCCAGTCCAGATTTATATAATTATTTTATCAGTGAATGAATGAGCTAATGGTACTGATGTCAACTGAAGCTTTGCAGTTTTATAAAAAAAATGTTTGCACGGATTTAGTCAAGTGATGTCAATAGACTCAATACATGCTATTCGTGACTCGTGTAATGTTGTCACGGTTTTGTTAAATCAAGGCTTTGTCTTTTGCCAAAGAATTTTGCGCCTGCCAAATAAAAACGAAAATAGAATACTCGTACTGTGTTATACGTACCGGTACAATTCGCGCAATATATCATAATTACAAATATTCCAATGGAAAGGCGGCGCGCCGGCGTATCGCTTTCCAAGCTTGTTCGTGCGGCTTTTAATAATACTTTCAGATGTGTGTCACATTAAAAAGGATAAAAAATCGTAGTTTCGTTTATTCTTGGTATTTGGATATGTAGTGCATTTACTTACTTATGGTTAGTTGCAAAGCTGATTAAGATTCGTCAAGTCGAACTCTATGCATGCGAACTATAAATCGACTGATTTCAGTTTCCGGCTTAACGACGTTTATTTTCCGGTATAATGAGATGTCTAACGTAAAATTGTGTGACATTGCAGTGATCTGTACATCATTACACTATCGCTGTCGAATTTTTCTCTTTTGTTTCTTATTTTGAACTGTACGTGTTGTAACAGTAAAACCGAACCGACTTCTCCAAAATCAATGCTTTCTCGTAGCTTTTTTTTAATTCTGATTAATTCATCGATGTCTCAGCGCAGAATCAGACACTTTCCGCTAATCGAAACTTGAAAATTGAGATCCTAACAAGATTTTAAAACGATACAAGGTGGAGACGCTGCTCTTATGTACACTAGAGTGAAGACGACACTGCAACAATCAAAGCGACAGTACGGGACACGTGATGGAATCTACAGGCCGAATCCGTACAGGGTCCTGCCCTGGCGTTTGAGGGCATAGACCACGTCCATGGCGGTGACGGTCTTGCGTTTGGCGTGCTCAGTGTAGGTGACGGCGTCGCGAATAACGTTCTCCAGGAAGACCTTCAGCACACCGCGCGTCTCCTCGTAGATCAGACCGGAAATGCGCTTCACTCCGCCACGACGCGCCAGACGACGGATGGCGGGCTTGGTGATGCCCTGGATGTTGTCGCGGAGGACTTTGCGATGACGCTTGGCACCTCCTGCGAAAACAACCGATCGATCAGTTTAATCACTTTAACGCTCAGTAATCAAACGGGCTCATTTAACGTAATAAACAACAATTTTAAACAGAATCAAACTAAAATTTAAATTTTGCTGTTACAAAATTTTGGTGTCAATACTGCACTATTTAACAAGCGTTTATACCAAGAAACTCACGTGTTACCATAAGACCCAGTTGCAGAAACATACTTTCGCGGAAAGTTCGTCAAGACTCAAAAGCAGTAGTTTCGAAAACCATTTTAAGCTAACTTCTTTCTGTTCTACTTTAGTAACTTTACATTTAGATAATGGTTGACCGAAATTCAATTAAGTATGTAAATACAATTCTACGGAACTGCTTACCTTTTCCGAGACCTTTACCACCCTTTCCACGGCCAGTCATTGTGAATACGAGTTATCGAAAATATGAAATCGAAAAAATAAGCCCTTGGAAAACGTGAAGCTCTAAAACCTCAACTCACAAGTCCTTACAACTGAAAATTTTAATGACAGCGTGACTGAACGTGTGTGCACTTTATATAGCACGGCGAGGCTGCAAGTGGCAGCGCAGACCACAAAATGAGATGGGGGCGGAGTTACAGATTGTGCCAACTCGTTTCCGCTTCCCGTTTTTTCATTATTATATCGATGTCTTTTCAATGTTTTTGAGCACAGCATCTTTTTAAATGGCTAAACCAACTTTTTAATTGAAAACTTGGCTGAAAAAAACACAAAACCAAAGAAAAAACTTTGAAAATCGGAAAACATTTCACTCCAACCGTTATGATGTCATCCGCTACGCTACGATAGAGGCGGAGCTACAATACGTTCATTCAAAAGTTACCGTACTCCAAACAGTACGAGTTGAAATGTTTTGCATTTCATGTTTTCGTTATGGTTTCAGTGTTCTCCAAAGTTTTTGGCATTACAATGTAAGGAAAATTTAGTTTTATTTTTCGGATCGGCTATTAATCCAAGGAAATTAAGTGTAAAATGCAAAAATAATTTCAAAACCATTTTTCTGAACTTTTCTTTCCAGTTAGTCGAGACGGTTTAACTCCGCCTCCGTAATTTGCTTTTTCAGCCAATAACGATCGCGTCAGGATTTCGCGCGCTTCTTCAGCCTATAAAAGCTGATACAGTCGCCCAATTTGTCCGTTATTCGATGTATTTCTGCGATCTGCACTTTTGTCAGAATTTTCGTGTTTTACGGTAATTTTCCGCGCCAAGTCCAGTCTGTGCAATGGCCCGTACTAAGCAGACCGCTCGTAAGTCCACCGGAGGCAAGGCTCCCCGCAAGCAACTCGCCACCAAAGCTGCCCGCAAGAGCGCCCCAGCCACCGGCGGTGTCAAGAAGCCCCATCGTTATCGCCCCGGCACCGTGGCCCTGCGTGAGATCCGTCGCTATCAGAAGTCCACCGAACTCCTGATCCGCAAACTCCCCTTCCAGCGCCTTGTCCGTGAAATCGCTCAGGACTTCAAGACTGATCTCCGATTCCAGTCATCCGCTGTTATGGCTCTCCAGGTGCGTAAACTGTATTCTCCTTTGACTTCGTTGTGTTTTCTTGCTCTATTAAACGGAATCGTTACAATTATCTTTACGGTTTGGCCGTGGTCAATTGATTTTGAAATGTGATCGTGATTTAGCCAGTTTTAGTGTTTTTGTAATTGTGACTTTGTACGCAGATTTGTTTTTATTACTTAGTTTTATACAAATAGAGCATTGAACAAATGTGCGTGGCTGTTTGAAGTTCGTTGTAAGTTGTTTCTGGGTTGTAACTGTTGCTGACTTGACAGGAAGCCGCGGAAGCGTACTTGGTGGGATTGTTCGAAGACACCAACTTGTGTGCTATCCACGCCAAGCGTGTGACCATCATGCCCAAGGACATCCAGCTGGCCCGTCGCATCCGTGGAGAGCGCGCTTAAGTTCGGTTTGGTGTGCAGTCATGTTGCTTTTGCAAGTGTACAGCGACTATTCAAATTAACAACCAAGTTCAGAACTTTATTGTACAGAATCGATCTCATTGCGCCATACACATTGTTACGTTTCGTAGCGAGAATTCGTTGTTGTTCCGAAATATTTGAAATTGTTGAAATACGTGCAAATGGTCAGCAAAAAACTGGAATTAAAAGAACTGAAAAGTGAAAATCCTGAAGCCGCTTCGACAAAAATACGTAGTGATTGCCCGAGTCCATTACAAATGCACATTGTTCGTTATAAAAAATTTCGTATTTGAACACTGAAGAGATCAATAAAAATTACTCATCAGGTCGTAGTCTCGTAGACTCAAAAGCTCACTCATGCATGGACTGCCACTTAATAATAATTATTCCCAATTTTCTATCGGAATACTAAATCAATTAATTTACATTTTAATTGTAAATCTTCAAATGCTTTCGTTTAACACTCGCAGTGGGCTCAGGCTGTGCCGCTGTGGTTTAGTAAGACGGGTTTTTAATTTTTATGAGCCGCGCGGCAGACGTTATGGTCACAATATGGTGCAAACTGCAAACCGATATACAGGGGTGCTACGCCAAGTTCGGGCAGTTACAAAAATTCCTCTGCTTTTACCAGTTAAGTCTAAAATTTTTAATTTATTCTTGCAAGATAGTTCTAACTTCTTATCCTGGACCACCTTAGGTAATTTTGTTTCTATGCAAAAAGCTGATGTACAAGGAATGCGAGCCGAATTTCTGATTTCATTTTTTGTGCAAAAATCTCACTGCTTAGTACGAAATAATCGTGTTCCTTCAACAAAAATTTAAAAATTGGTGGACATTGAGAACTGTGAGGTGTGAGCTGTATTTTCTAAGGGTCCTTCCCTACCTTCAGTTTAAACAATAAAATCTTCCCTAATGGGATCGGTGCTCTAGGCAACCGCATTCCCCTGTAGGTACTTTTTAACATACAAGTCTATGGGAAATGCATCTTGTTGCGAGGTCACCTCGAGCACTGATGGCGCAAGTCCCCATTGCGGACCCTTGAACGACACCTTCTGGGTCACTTAACAGTTTTCAAAATGGCTCGCGCAAGAATATTTGTTGGGACATTTTGAATCGGTCCAGTTATAAGCCCCCGAAAAACTACCTTCACCCCGCCTCTTATATTACGCCTGGCCCCTTGCTATCAAGTCGAATGATTAAAAATTTGACACTGTTAGATTCGCAAGAAGAAGTTACACTAGAAAATTGAAGAAACGAAAAGAAAATGGCGTACGGGAATATTTATAATTTATTTTACGCAACTGCCCGAACTTGGCGTAGCACCCCTGTAAATTCATATACTCGTAACACGTTTTCTACATTTTGTTCTTTCAATGATGCAAAGAAGGCGCTGCCTCGCTGCGAAAGGGCAATAATCAATACATTTCTTTCTTCAAATAAGAATTTAGGATTCACGTTGACGTAGAGAAGGTTTTTTGCCTTGGCTTTGAAAAAATGAATTTTGAAACAAATTTTATCAACAAAGCCAACACATCCTGCTACAAAAGGAAGGCTGCCAATGCCATATTTACACTCCACCGGAAGCGGTCGGAATTCTAAGTCTTAAGATTTTGCAGAACAGGACACAAGAAACCAAATTTATGGAGAAATTAAAGCTATTTTTATATTATGTACTATGTAATATGGAATCAACTACGTAGTATGTACGTGTTTATAGTGAGACGATTAAATTTTAATTTATAAGTAGTATGTGAAGTGAATAATTAACGAATAACTTATTGTTAATTTATGATTATTCGCAATTCATTATGAACTATTCATTTAACTAATACTGTAGTAATAAGATATGAATTATTCGTATCTTATTTCAGGATAAATTCAGTAATTATTATCACATAAAGTAATTATGAAATTTATTTCCCACAACGAAAAATGTCGGGTTGCGAACACTTCTTATTTACTGGTAGTGGTCACTTTTGTGTTGTATGACTTGTGTTAGAATTGGAAATGTATTACGTGTGCGTAATCAGTAACTGATCTATGAGTGTACTATCTTCATAGCTGATCAGTGAGTGTAACATCCACTCAGTACACCTATCCCTAATGATGATCAGACTTCTGGGTGAAGTGCTGACTAATGTATGTGTGTTATGTTACCGACTGTGCTATATAAGCAAGTGTTGTACAGAACATCTATGAACATCTTGTGGACATCACTGAATGAACAACTGCGGAAGTATCTGAGTTGGTTCGTTAGTACAGTTAGTACGGTAGTCAGTTATCACCTTCCTACAGACCGCTATTTAATTTTCAAGATATGACTTGTATCATTTGAAATAATGATAAGTAGAATACTGGATCAAATTATCAGTTTTGTTTCTGTACTAATAAGTTGGTACTCGGTAATAATTTCGACTGCTGCAAACTCTTCGGCCAATTCATTTCTCATGATCTTTAATTTGCGCAAATACTGGACAGTTTGAATTAACTCGCCCGCAGTTGACAATTGACACTAATAATACTGTACAATTCAAATGTAAAACGATGACAAATCAGAAGTACTAGAACTCGGTTGGAAAAAATTCCCGACTGTCCAGTGCCCACCTTTCAATAACTACAGCACATCTAATCTGAAGCGTGAACAAAACCATTTCTGAGATCAACAACATTAGGCAGTCTACTTGTTGGCGCTGGTGTACTTGGTGACGGCCTTCGTGCCTTCCGACACGGCGTGCTTGGCCAACTCTCCGGGGAGGAGCAGACGGACGGCGGTCTGGATTTCGCGGGAGGTGATGGTGGACTTCTTGTTGTAGTGGGACAGACGGGACGCCTCGGCGGCGATGCGCTCGAAGATGTCGTTGACGAAGCTGTTCATGATGGCCATGGCTTTGGAGGAGACGCCGGTGTCCGGGTGCACCTGCTTCAGCACCTTGTAGATGTACACAGAGTACGACTCCTTCCTGCAATCATCAACAAAAAATCCATCACTATCGAATGACACTTCCAACAACTGACAAATACATTCTACAGTTCACATTTCAAAAACTGATTACGACAAAAACAAGCAACTGAAAAAAGTTAACCGTTGAGTCAACTTGAGTGTTAACGAAAACTTGGTCTTTAAATAAATTTAAAACTAATATCGTAAATTACTTTACATTATTAAAAATGATCGTACTAATGGCGGCATCATAAGAAAAATGCGGTTTAATAAACAAGGTTAAAAATAAAAACCAGTGCATAATCATATAACCAAAACAGCATTTTTAAACGAAATCAAAACTGAGAAACTTGCAAAAAACGTTGCATACCTCTTCTTCTTCTTCTTGGCATCAGGGTTGCGGATGGCTTTCTGGGCCTTGCCAGACTTCTTGACGGCTTTACCACTTGGCTTAGGCGGCATCTTTGCTTTGCTAACAGCTAACGGAATAAAAACTTGAAAACTGCAATTATGAATTCACAACTCTAAGACGAAAACTCCATAACCCGCCGTTTGGAACGCTTTATATACCGAGCCGAACGCGCGCGAAGAAATTTTGGCTCCGCCTTTTTCGGATGTGGGCGATCTGATTGGCGCGTATCTAGCAGGTTTTCCAGCGAATAACAATGCGGTAAGAATGCGTGACGTCACCTCACTTACATTACTTTTAGCGCCGCCTTTTCCGTTATAACAACCGTGGTTGGTTGCATAAAGAGAAGGCCGGGCCAAATCCCAAAACACAGATCGATGGACCAGCTGTATATAAGCCACCGTCAACGTGACCGTTCTTCGTTATTTCGCGTGGATAAAAATTTTTGCTGTTGAGCTTTTTTGTTGAATTTTCGTTAAATCTCAGTTAGCAATAATGACTGGTCGTGGTAAGGGTGGTAAAGTCAAGGGAAAGGCTAAGTCCCGTTCCAGCCGTGCTGGCCTGCAGTTCCCCGTCGGTCGTATCCATCGTATGCTGCGCAAGGGCAATTATGGCGAGCGTATTGGTGCTGGCGCTCCCGTCTACCTGGCTGCCGTTCTGGAGTACTTGGCCGCTGAAGTCCTCGAACTGGCTGGCAATGCTGCGCGTGACAACAAGAAGACCCGTATCATTCCGCGTCATCTCCAGTTGGCCATCCGTAACGACGAAGAGGTGATTAACCGTTGCCTGTTCAGTTTTACATAACTTGTTTTCTGTTAGGAAGCTTTTACCGCAAGTACTGGTTGCCCTACTTTCATCTAATAATTAATTTAATTTTCGAAAATGATTTATTTCATCGGAATTTTATTTAAGGTTTTATCATTTATGACAATTTTATTGTGATTTTAATTTACGTGTTTAAAGTGTTTTAATTTACGTGTTATTTTACGTGTTTAATCTTTGTAATACTTTAAAGTGTGTGTGATGTGGTTGTAAATATCGTAAATTAACTAGTTGAATTTGTAGTTGAATAAGCTGCTGTCTGGTGTGACGATCGCCCAGGGTGGTGTGCTGCCCAACATCGCACCGACACTGCTGCCCAAGAAGACCGCGGGTGGTCCCCAGGAGACCCATGTGGAGCCCAAACCGAAGTCTGGAGGCAAGAAGGCCGCTGCTCCGGCTGCCGAAGCCTCCCAGGAAGTCTAATGAAGAACCTCTTCCCTCTGGTTAATTCCACCTGCCAGCATTGTCATCGCTTGTAAAGTTGTAGTACAAAATTTCTGTCGTAACAGAACATCGGAATTATTGTTCCATTTTCAGTTGTCGTATAGCAGATCTCAGTTTCAGTTTTACATCTTGACCTTGTACAGCATGACACCGGATGGATAGAGTTGTTATGAGTTGCATCACCTGTTTGAACTTTAAACGGAATTAAAAATAAGACGCCAGCAAATGTTTAGATTAGATCTCGGATGTGGTTTAAATAGAGATATGTAGTTATGTATATACTTTGGTAATGAGCTGTTTGACATGACTATGAAATACAGTTACTATGAAATCAGTTAGTCGTACGTAATTTGAGTAAAATAAAGAGTAAGATACAGGACAAATGACCAATGCTGATTTGGGCAAATGACGAGACATGACTTCCGTTCGTTTTAATTCCAGTTGAACAAACACGCCTAGTCACCAAAAAAAAGCAACTAGATACTTAATTTTAGGAAAACAGCTAGACTATGTATCAAACCGCTGTTTTCATTATAAGAACAAACATGTTTACGGTGGCAGCGTGGATATATCAATCTCCGGATGCTTTTTCCTCACATGCAACACCCATGCTCCCCGCTTCTGGTATCCAGCCAGGCACGTCTCGCATTTGTACGCACAGTTCTTGTACCTTTCCCGTCGGTACGACTTGTTCCAGGGATACTTTTTCTTCTTCTTTTTGATGCCCCGATGCACAACGTTAACGTGGCGAAACCGCTCCTTCGGGGTCTTGAAGGGCACCCCGCACTGCTCGCAGGGGTAGGCGTACGTGTTGCCGTGTATCACCATGTGGCTGCGCAGCTTTCGCTGCGTGGTCCACGATTTCCCGCACACGGGACACTTGCAGGCGTATGCTTCTCGGTGCACGGTGGCGATGTGTTCGCGCAGCGCCGTCAGCAGCGGCTCTTTGTGGTCACATTCCGGACACGGGAATCCGTCGGCTTCAGCGTGGGTGTGCATGTGGTTGTGCAGTTGGACTTCTCTCACAAAGTTCTCCTCGCAGAATAAACAAGTGAATCCAGATGACAGCTTCTCACCGTGCTCCTGTTTTCAAGCAATCCAATACATAAATTATTGAAAAATGTACGGATCTTCACCGAATCAGCGTTTCATTAAGATCAAAACAAAAGCCACGGGCTCCGCATATTTTTTCACGAAAAAATATGTTCGCAGGATTACATTATTAAATTGATTATTTACAATTTTACATATACTATGCAGTAGTCGTACCTGGGAATTCACTTTTTTGCGCAAGCGAAACATCACGGCAATTAACGTTTACCAAATGCAGGTTTTGCATTTCTACTTTTTTTTTAATATTGTAAATACGTAACATTTCAAATATTGTAAATACGTAACATTGTAAATACGTAACATTTTTTATATTGTTAATACGTAACATTTCAAATTAAGATGCTTAGGCTCAAATCTCAACTAATTTTTCGTCTTGGTTCAGAATCAATTCGACGTACGGTCACGTACCCCTTGAAGATGGCATTTCAGCATCGTTTCACTCCTAAACCGTTCGCGACAAATGACACACATCACAGGATAAGCCTGCACATACTGCGCCGGATGATGCATCTTAGCATGAAGTCTGGGATTTTTAACCTTCTTCCCGCAGGTCAAACAGGCGCCGTTCTTAGAGGCTGGTTGATCTGGGACATCTGCACTGGGCATGATGGCATGAGTGATTAAGTGCTGCATCAAAGCATCAAAGCTCTCGCTCCGCTGACCACACCCGGTGCATCCCAAATCCAGTTGGGAGTGGTCGTCTTCCGGGTGGTGAAGGGGCTGATGTTGGCGTCGGATGACGGCATTGGGAAATACTGCTGGACACAACCCGCACGGGTAGTTTCGTTTCCACGTCGGCGGGGTTGCGGTCTGCTTGTAACATATCCCCTTTTCCTTCTGCTTCTCAATAAAGTCCTGCATCAGCTTGAAGAATGGCGTTTCTTTGCCTGCAAAAGAATCGTATAGATGCAACAGACTAACGTACTTGTATCGATATGGACGGATTATATTCATTATACAAGCATTTGGTTTCAACCTTGAAAGTCCAGTTCTGCCTATTTAGATTGTACGAGATCACTCGTACATCACTTCCGATACTTCAATGCCAGACTATTTCTTTGATTTGCACACACAGGAAAATACAAAAACATACACTAATTAAATTACAAGCACGTAAGTAAACTATTGAAGAAAAATTACCCTTCAGTTTTTCCGTTCTTTCCGTGTGGGATTTCGTCATGTGAAGGCAGAGTTTACGATACGAATCGCATGTTTTTCCACATTCCCTGCACAGAAACCCTTCGGGAGTGCGATGGGATTGGACGTGATCCCGCGTTTCCATCCAGTTATCCATGACTTTCTTGCAGATACGGCACTGCCGATTGGTCATGTTTTGATGAACCTAATTCAGTTATCAGCCAAGATAAATTAAGATACATCGTAAAATGATGCCGTGAAATATCATCAGCATCATGCCTTAAAGAGACCAACGTACAGCATGAGCACACCATAAGCGATTTTCACTTTTCCCCTTAATTTATACGCGGGGCAATTTTCTCGAACAAATGTTGTGGTAGCCAACAGAACGGCATTTCACTTACGGCTTTCAAATGGATATCCAACGACAGCTCGGTGGGGAATATCTCCTTGCAAGTCTCGCAGCGCTGCGTCCAGGTGCTGCTCATATCCCGGAAGAATTCGGGATGATAAGACTGGACATGCTGTCGGATATTGGCGGCCTTACCACCGCACACCGCACAGGGCCGCGGCGGCCACTTTCGAACTAGCTCGCCCGCTTTGAGCCCATGCTGCTTGACATGCTGCATGAGATCAACAAAATCCACCGCCGTGTACTCACACCCCACACAACGCAGTGCAATGTCGGTGGGCTCTTCTGCTGCATGATGGGCAGAGTGGAGATCAAGTAGTGGCTGCGTGCGGAAGTGCAGCTCACATTCGGCGCAGCGGTGCTTGAAGACGGAGACTATCTTGACATTTTTCAGTTCCTTAGGTTTCGGCTTGGGGTCGTTCCGGTGGCGCCGAGGACGAGTGGGTGCTATTTTCGCTTCAGGCACAATTTCGTTATCTGCTGGATGCGATGCAGAAGGATTTAGATCATCACTGTCACAATCCATTGGATCAAAATCTCCAACATCGTAATTTGTGAAATCCAGATGAGAATCATGGATTTCATCACCGGTAGCGGCAGGCAAAAATGCATCTGGTAAGATGCGTTTCTGATACGCTGTGGGGACAAAATTTGGTGGTTTAGTTATTACATCGTTAAACTATTGACTGTACAGTCTGTACTTAATGTTCAGTTGCTGACCATGAGATAAGAAAAGAGGCAATACGGTAAAACATACCGCTTTTCACATGGTCAGCGTATTCCTTCGAATAGGCGACTTTCAGTTCCTGTCCTGGACAGATCGGTTTCCTCACCACAAAGTACACATCTGATCCCTTCAAGAAGACTGACAGGTTCTGATCTTCATCGCTAACGGCAAACCGAACGTGCTTCATCCAGTTGCAAGAATGATCGTCGCCTGTTTGAAGAAAATTTTCCACATTTCCGCTGACGAAGGACGACCTGTGTGGTGTCAAGGGGGCAATGAAGGGACCAAAAACAGTGTGCGCATGAATTGTGGATCTTGCAAAAACACCGTCTCCTAAAAAGGCGGGAAAGAATTAAAATGCATAAAAATATCAATTTTTAGCAGCAATTCGCGAGCTGTTCATCAGCTGGGCCAATGCTCAATTGCTCACATATCGAAAGGAAAAATCTACCTGTATTCTCCTTATCAAAGTCCAGCGTTTCCGGTAAACTGCTACGAGACAGAGGAGGAACAAGACTGTCTGTTATGTGAACCGCGTGAGCCCAGCATGGTTCATTCGTCACCTTCCGGCAGGTAACGCAAACTAGACAAAACGGTTAGGTTTACAATTCAGCCACTGAAATACAAAAATTAATGCCAATGATCTAAAAACCATACATCATTCGCACCGCCGCTTTTTGAACGCTGCCAGGAGATAAAGTGTACACAGCTGCAAAACTTACAAAACTTGTCATTGCTGACCAAAAGATCCAAATCGGCTTTTGGTAACGCTGCATCACGGAAAAATTCACTTATTTCCATCATGTCATCACCGCCGGGAGCCTAATAAACGTGGCAGAAATACGCTATGTCTCTGAAACTTCCAGAAAAACGAGACAGTTATAAAGACATCCAACGCCGAACCTTTGAAGTGGTGATGAGACCCTGCTCGGTGCGCACCACCTGGACATTGTGCGCAGTCAGTCTGACTGATCCAAACTTCACTCCGTCCGCCGTCGGCGTGTTTTCCGCCCAACAGCACACCTGGGGCACGGGGACAGCTTTGGCAGCCAAGGTGTACCGTGCCACTTCCTGTCCGTCCACGATACGCGTGACGCGGCGCAGATCAGCGGTGCGGAAGTGCAGATGACAGACACGGGCGGTCGCTTGGGGCTCGACGGCCGTGGCGCCGCCGGCCGCGATCCACTGCTCATACAGGAGACTCCGACGTGGCGGGAACTCGAAGGACTGGCGAGTGTGGGGATCGCGGGAAGTATAGGTCAGATCCACGTCGCAGCCGGGCATCCAGCATTTGTCCCCGCGCTGCTTTTCGATGTCCAGGGGAAGGGGGTCGTCCGTGTCCGGTAGGACTGACTGGAATACGCAAATTAGGTCAGTAAAGCTGGAAAAGGCCGAGTTTTTGCAAACTGTTTAGTTTTTCTTAAACAAGATTTTTCTCATGATTTATGATATATGTGTGCAAATGACGACAATATTCAGTGAGAACGCGGTACGTCAGTTAAGGCTAATGCTGTACAATACCGGTACGATTGATGATCGGAGCCATCAGACCAGAAAACACGGGTCAACTTTAGTAAATTACCGAAGCTAATTAATGTGTGTCATTTATTTATGACAAACAGCGGTGTCAGACTGCCAGGTGCCAAAATCAGGCATTCCAAAGCAACACACAATCTGTGAGTGTCTGTGCAACTTACGCGGAATACTGCATTTTGATCGCACGGAGCATAATCGACACTTTCGAGCTGGTTTTCCGAAGGACTATCGTCCAACGGCTCTGCATTAATCCGTTTAGTTTTCTCATATCTGTAATGGTACGGGTTGATGCAAGTTTCGTTGGACTCGACGGTGCAGTTGGCGCAAGAGGACAGCTGTGATTCGGTCGCATTGCTCCACCGAAAGGCTCGCGCCACCCAGACATAAGAGGGGAGTTTTCGCCCAGCAACCTACACAACGGAAAACTATAAAGTGATTCAGAAAACACAGCCACAACATATTCAGGACTAAACACTAAGAATAAATTACCAATTATTCACTTATTCACTCAGTTTCACTGCACCATTCGCAGACTCACACATGCGCATGGCAAAATTAGAATTTATTTCGATCTAGCTCTGCCAAAAGCTTGACTTGCCAAAAGCTCTGCCAAAAGCAGATCAAAATACATCATGTTTCCGCACCCCGAAAGAAATACCCTTCCAGATTTGACTGTCTTATTAGTTATTAACGGACAACTGTTGGATATTAAACGGATAACTACAGTATGCACCGTGCATACACCATGCATAATAAGTAATCAAAAGCAAGTGGACTATGCTAATGGTAAGCTAATTCGCACAAGCGGCTTTTACCGTCGTTATAACGCTGTCCTTATGATCTCATCATCTAACTATTCAAAGTAACATGAAATTTTAATTACTGTACATCCACTGATAAAGGCTTACGCAAATATGCGGCGCCCTGAAGGGAACACATTGCGTGCCTTCTCTTTCGGTCACGGCCGTCAGCAATTTCTGCACAACATCGGAATCTTCGCCCAGAGTCTCGACGATGTGGTCCACCACCGCCGTGACATGCTGCAACTTGGTTGCGTGGTGCCGCTGGACCAGCAAAAGCTGTCTGACATCAGCCGAATCCCCGGAATCAGACTGAACTCACATTGAAGAATATTTTAAATACGAAAAGCTTGAAATATGTGAAAAGCGGAAACTCTGCTAATAAAAGCTCCATCTGGCTTACCAGTGCGCCTGCGCTAACCGTCACAGGCGAGACAGCTGCAGCAGCACTAGCGGCTGCATGGTTGACGCTGGCAAGCGGAACCAAGATGATGATGCGCTTCGGCTGTGCAATACTAATTGGAAGATTTTGCAGTTGCAGGGAAATTTCTGCCATTCCCGCAATTATCCATAAACATGCAAGCAAAACCCAACACGTTCCGAGGGCCGAATGGCATTAAAATGCAGTCAGTCACCAGTGCAGAGTCACAGTGCGCAGTGCGCACATACAAATGATAAAATGATAAACATGCAGAATTCATCCCGCAAATCTGCAGTCACTGTATCACGGGTTCACATTGGTTTCTGAAAATTAATAGGAAAGACTAAGGATCACAAGATGTTCACGAACAGAAAAATTAAAGCCAAAACAAAACAAAAAATACATCGGAATATTTTTCTACTATACTTGTCAAACTCAAACCACATCTGAGAAATTAATGATCGAGGCTCGAGAGAAAACGATTCGCTTTAGCGTCTGTCTGATTGTGAGACGTCTGAATCGGTCTGATGCAGTCAACGCAAGGCGCCAGCGGCTGTGAGTCTGTGACAGCTTGAATGTTTTGGGCCTTTTGGCATTTGACTTTTGAGCGCGCAGTCTCGCAGGCTGGTGTAAAATCACGTTTGAACCTTCGGATGCGATTTTCTCATATTGCTCGTTATTGCTTGCTTTTCATCTTTTACTTTGTACAGCCATACAAGATCATAATAGTGCTAAGATGTTTCGGCCAGTTACGTTGGTGAACCAGGCATTTGCGAGTGGCGAAATGCAGTATCTCCTCCTCTGCCCGAATGCATCGGGCTTAACACTGCCAACTCCGCCGCCATCAACCACCTCCTTTGTCCCGATCAAACCCAGACCTGGTCCCGACGGGACTGTCCCTGATATACAGCCTGTTCCCACAGAAGCCACGACTATTCTCCTCTTGCAGCAGCAGCCTTCATCTCCTCCCGAACCAGCCTTATCATCCCTTCTTCCAGACGCATCCCCACCCGTCGTCGATCAGTGCGTGCTCTGCTCCTACCGCACATCCGACAGCACCTGCGCAAAACGCGCTGTCTTCAAATTCCCCAAGGATGCTCTGCGGCGCAAGAAGTGGGTGGACGTGTGTCGCCAGGTGGACGAGCTTTTCTATCTGTCCCCGACGTCGTTTGTGTGTCAGGAGCACTTTGCGCCGCAGTATATCCGTTTGCCCCTGCTGCGGAATGGCAAACAGAGGAAACGACTGTCGCGCTTTGCCGTACCTTCGCTGCCGGTGGCCACGGCGGCGGCGGAGAAGGGGGTGGGGGCGAAATCTCAGTCGGACGATGAGGATATGGAGTTTCTCGATGAAGAAATGCGAGCCTTCCATAACGGGCTGCCTAGCGCAGGTACAGACTGTACAATACAGTGTGTCAGCGTTCAGTAATTCTCTTTTCTCATACAGTACCGAGTGCTAAGCTTTTACTTCACGCTCATGGCTTGTTTATGTTCTGCCGTCTTTCGATAATTTGTCTTCTTGAGCATCGAGATAATCTGATCTGTATCAGAATTGTAAAACTGAAATAAGTACCATTGCGTTGTGCTCTTTAATTGCATACATTTCTGCTATTACATATTTCGAACCATGCACTTCTAAATCATCAGAGGTCTGCGGGCCTTATTCAATGAGGTACATTATCACTTGTAGAATTATTTGTTATGGTACTTACGTGATTGGTTGCACATATTGTATTTACGCTGTGATTTATGGACAACTATGAATTTTGTTGTGGTTTTTTCTTCTTCACTTGCAGTTGACATTCCTCGTGGTCATACCAATACGCATAGTGTCATTCCCACCGCAACTGTGCCTGCTGATTGTGACGAAGGAAAGGAGAACCTTTTCACAAACATGTGTAAGCACGAGTAGTGCGCATTCCTTTCTTTCCGGTCGCCCGCATATTGCTTTTTATGCTAAACCCAGGAAATTGCGTTTGTCTTAAAACAGTGGACAGGTTTGACGGTGAAAAACTGGACTTGTATGGGTTTGTTTCAGGTTGTCCGAAATGCGAAACGCTTGGACCTGAACCGTGTTGGCAGCACACGAAGCATTATCAGGATCGACGGACGCCTCCCTTGGCCAAAGCCAGTCTGCCTAAAGTTCTGCGATTCATAAGAGCAGGCGAACATCCAGGTAAATTGTCAAGTGCGAGTATGATATAAATCACGGCATCAGTAGCTCATTTCCAAGGCTCCACGAATTTGCTGATTGTTGTGTGTAACACGAATCGCACTTTTTACATTTCTCATAATTGCAGCAAATCACTTTTTAGACCAGTAAAATATTTCCCGTATTGCATGGAAACTGAAAAATAACCGAAAACGAAACGTGTCTGATTTGGAGTGTCGCTTGATACATTTGATAATTCTGATTCTAAGTTAAGTGCTTATAAATTTAGTATTTTCATTGTAGATACGCCGACTGGAGTTTCTGCACGGCTCTCCCTTCAATCGCACACGGTGTTCGGGCCAATGCGGGGCGTTTTATGCAGTCGCAGCGGCGGTAAATTCGCCATCCCTGCCAAGGATTACCGGCAGTCATACCATGTGGAGTCGGACGACGGCTGCAACTGGATGAAATACGTCCACTTTGCGGACAGCCCCGAGCAGCAGAATGTGGCTGTTTATATGCGCGACAACCAGATCTACTTCGTCACAACGAAAGATATCCTCCAAGGCACTGAGCTGAAGCTGTGCTACTCGCGAAAATATGCGGAAACAGTTGGTGTTTTACCTAGACATCCACTTTTTGGGGCATCGATGCAACACGGGGGAGAAAACGCTGTTAGCACCCAAAATATCCATTCTACGAGGAGCCAGGAAGTGATTGAACACGCAAACACAGCGCTGTTGAAGCAGAATTTGAGCATTCCCGTGATAGTTGACGAGTGCAATTCCCCTGTTTGTGCTTCTGCGGATAATCTTTCTGTCTTCGATTCTCCTGACGGTGCTGATATTCGCGATCGTTCTCTTAGTCCAGGTGCCGATATCGCCGTACATCCGAGTGTGATCGATGATAGAGGCCTGGTCCCTACAACAACCGCCTTGGATGTGATACCAAGCCGGTCGCTAAGTCAATCTCTCCCTAATTTAGTAACATCTGACAATAGTTTTCCCACCGTAACGGAAAATAAGAGCTCCAGGAAACGGAAGCGAAAAGAAAGCAGATCGGAAGCTGCACAGGGAAAACGATCGCGAAGTCGAAGAGAAGCAGTAACAACTGTAGTAGAACAGACACCGGAATCCGACGCGCCGATAGAGAAAGGAAAACCAGCAAAACGAATACACAAGAAACCGGTGCGCACAAAGCCAGTGTCGACGAAAACCAGAACTTTGGTCAGCAAATTCTTTCGTGATCCCGCCACGGTGGTGAAATATCCTTGCGAAATTTGTCTCACTCATTTCAAAACGGAAGCACTGATAAATCTGCATCGGCGCTTTCATGAGCCTTCGAAGGAAGCCGATGAAGATAACGATGCTGACGAGAAAGTGTGTCCCGACTGCTCAGAGCGGTTTGACAGTCTTCCCGATCTCTTTCGGCATGTGGAAAGCCATGGAAAGCCGTATTACAAGAAGGAACGGTGTCCGGTGTGTAAAAAGTTTATTACTACGCATTTACTGGATCGCCACATGAAAGGTAATCATCCAAGTGACGGCGCGGAGGATGCCGAGAAATATACATGTGATGTTTGCCAACAAGCGTTCACTTCGGAAATTAAACTTCGGGCACATGAACAGGTGAGCGCCAGTTATGTTATCGCTTTAGCAAATGATTCCAATGTCATAATTATATGACGGGAAAACGTTTTTAAGCTCTTGCAAACCAGAATTGTGAGACAGTGTAAATGTGCAGTCAGTTGGTTGATGATTCTGTACTATGGACAGTGTATTTTTAGGAATATAATTTTAAATGTATTTGCAGAAGCACAAAGTCCCCAAGTGCCTGATATGTGCGGAAATTTGTACGAATTGGAGATGCCTGGGAGTGCACGCGTTGACCCACAAGCAGGCTGACGGCTTTCATTGTCCCTGTTGCGAATCCACATTCCCGACCTTCCGTAAACTGACCGCGCATTACCACAACCATCACGACATTCGCACCTTCTGTACCTGTGAAGTGTGTGGGGAAATGTGTAAAAACCGCGGTACTCTGCATCGCCACATGCGACAACATATCGAGCGGGATTTTTCACACGAATGCGATGCTTGTGGGAAGAAGTTTCGCTGCTACAGCACCTTGCGGAATCACGTCTCCTTTGCGCATACGGTCGGCGGTCGGCAGAAGATCCAGCAGACGCAGATTCGGTATTTGAAGAAAGTGGATTATGTGGCGCCGCGCAAGCGAATGCTGCTGGAGGAGTTCCCGTTGAAATGCGACAAGTGCCAAGTGGGATTCCTGGGGCAGGGAAGGTATCTGCGGCATTTAAGCAAGTTTCATCCAGAGATGCCGTTGCCTGTTCTTTCTGGTGGTAAGGGTGATAGCTGATGTAAATTTTGGTCTCCTTCTTTCCGTGATCTTTTCAAGCTTGACTGGGTTTTTTTTTAAAGTTTCACATTCCTGTCTTGCTTTGGCATATTTCCTGGGATGTTGCAGAATTTCTTGAGCTGTTATAAAACAGAATACGGAAAAGAAAAATTGAATGTTAGTGTCACCGCTTGTGAAGTCTACTGTTGACTGTTGTCCGCACACTCGAATTTATGATATTCAGTGTCCGATCGTGCTGCGTCCTCACATATATTAATTGCATATAAGTTATAACTGAAAACGATCGAAGAGGGCTTTCTTCATTTTCAAGAATTTCCACGAACACAATCGTGACAATCCCCCTGCGGGGAAAGAAGCGACACATCTGTACAGTGCACACTACTACACAATGGTGATCAGCGTTTCGCGCCAATAACAGTCTACTTACAGTAAAGCAGAATTACAGCGCCAAGCAGAGACCGTTTTTCTTGTCATCATTAGAAATATCTGTTGTGCGTGTTCCTTTTGCTTTTTGCCATGTTTTTTGAAAAACGTCCTTTCTCTCGTATCGCAAGGGAATTGAATACTGGATCTTGAATGCTGGATTTACTTGACTGTTGCTCAAACTGCCAGCAGTCTGCAAATCTGCATAAAACTGATAAAAGTGCATACAAGGTTGTACAAAGTAAATCGGTGCCGGCGTACAAAATTTCGAAGTGCAGTTGTTGAAAATTGTCGTAACAAGCCACAAAGAAATAAGACGATGAGTTCAACAGTCATCAGTTAAAAAATCGTAGCAAGTTAGCAACTAGCAGTCAACAAAACTTGTGCTCACTGCACTGCAGTCATTAGTCAATATTTTACAGTTGACAGTATCGTGAACGTATCCGTAAATCATATTAACTCGTAACAACTATTATGAGCTGCATTCACTGCCATTCATCATTGGTCAAGAGTTCCATGGAAGCCGCATCCCCGGCCCCACTTCCGTTCCCGATCCCAGCGCTCCTTAATCTACCGCTGCCCACCCGGCCAGCCACACCCTTGACCAGATAACATATCACAGACAAAAGGACAAAACAGCCCAGCGCCACCCATATAAAGATATTCGTCACCAGCATCATCTTCCCGTGGTCATCGCCCTTCCAAGGCACCGCGCCGGGCTGGGGATTGTACAGGATGAACGCCACGACCATGAACCAGACGCCTTGCAGCAGCGTGCCGTAGGCGCGTGTCACCGGCAATAGAAGACTGTTTGGCCAAGCTACCTCTGCGATAGTCGCGACGACGCACAACCAAATGGCGTACACGAGCAGCGTGTGCACTTGCATGTCCAGCATGCTGCGGCCGTGCACGTGGAACATGAAGAGCAGCGCTTCGGCGGTGTAGGCCAGGATCAATGTCAGGTAGGCGGTGGGCAGAGTGACCGGAAGTGCGCTGCGCCGGTACGACTGCAGCAGCTCGCTGACGGCGTGCACGGCGAAAGCGGTGTACATCGTCATGTGCTGAATGTTGTTCGGACCGATGCCGTGGCTGCCGAATGCTTCGCCTACAGATATATACAGCAATACTTGTACAGCCACACCCACAGTCGATAGTCATTTACGTATCTATATGAGAAATTTTCTGTGTGTGTGCGTAAGATTTTGTTGCTTATATCTAAATTTAATTTCATTCGTTAATTCATGCCTGCAGTTTTCTACGTTTGCGATACGGCTGTACTCGATCAAAGTATACTTTTATTAAAATACTACAAAATGGTAATTACTAACTGCAGCTCAGAAGACATTAATACACAGAAAATAAATAAATAAATAAATAATATAGATATTAAGACTTGTTACGAATATAGATATATAAATTGTGTGTCGCTGATTAAATGCCATAATTTTCTACAATGCATCACCCATTATAAAACTGTATGAGTACTGCAAGTCTGTAATAGCTGCATCATGCATGTATAATGCAGCTAACGTTGATTCGTTGCACATTAAAACAGAAAGTTTATACAATTAAGCTGGTACACGATTTGGGTTGATTACCAAAAATTCCGATAACTGGCAAAAGCAGTTTCAGTGCAGCATCCAGCGGAAGGCATTTTAAGATGATCCCGGTGAAGCGTGTACTGGAGGTGAAAACAGCATTTTTATTCCTGGCAAGTCCGGTGAAGTATCGATGGAAAATGTAGCACGCCGACCAAATGGCCCAGATTACAAAAAATCCACCTGGAATTACGTGCCCCACGAAAGATCCCATTGTTCTCCATAAATGGGTTTAATCGTACAGCTATGACAGTGCCGATTCCGATCTGCTTACATTTCAAATTTCAGTTCGCGATCCACATACGCGTTAGAGTTAGTGCGAAGTTAAATCGCGTTATACTACACACTTTGTGATTTCCCTTTCCGCTGTACGCAGATTTCTATGCGGTCAAAAGTTGTGTTCACGCATGTGCTTATCGTTAGCGAAGTATCTGTAAGTGTGTGCTGTTACATAAAACCAAATATAACTTGCTTATGTACATAAATTAAAAATGCAGGGCAGGATCTGTATATAATATACTGGCAGTGGCAGTTGTGATCTGCAATCCACGGCGTGCGGTAAATTACTGTTTGTACTGTATCTCCTACGGTCCTGTCGTACAATTCCGAAGCCGGAAGCAATAATTAACAAGAAAGCCCAGCTGCAATTTTTTGACGTCATCCTGATAAGACAGTTAATTCCGTCGTTGACATCATACATCGCTGTGTACGTATACGATCTTTTTAACTGTCTCTGGTTTCGTGAAAATCGCAAGCAGTTTATAGTGACGCGGCGACATCAGTATAAAATGCATACTTCTACTACTTTCGGCGTGTTGCAAGCGAACGAAATTTGCCGGGCATTCAAACCATTTTATCACGTTTATCTTACGAAAACCCATGCAAAATTCAATTATTATTGTGTTGATATGCAGAGTGCAAGCCGGTTCCGTGGTAAATGTACAGCGCACACGCCGTAGCCACGCTTACGGCTGCGTATTACAGCCTGTAGGAAATTTCGGATTTCCCATACGAGCTTTATAATAAGGTAATAAAAGGTTGCTCTTAGGTAATAAATCGAAATTCGGTGAACATCAAATAGTTCTACGCCAGTAATTTTGAATATTTCTTATAGATGATAGTACGTATTTAAGCGCCATTAACAATGGAAGCTACATGCAAAACAAGTCCGGAACAAATCCTATGCGCATTTTATCCACGGTCCACAGCAAATAACCGATTTGCTATTCCCACTTTCCACCTGTTTATCCAGTGCAATAATCTTTAATTAAGCTGTACAAGCTGAAGAGGCAGTATTTTAATTGGTACTTCCAGTCATCCACATATACAGAGTAATAGAGTACGCATGGTCTGATGGTCATGTTCGCATCTTTAGCGTTTCAACGAGATACTAAACAAATTCAACAAACAGGAGTTCGAACCAGACGGCAACGCTGTGACTCCAGTGGGTGCAAGAAAATCAAGGAGGAAGAGTGGAGAGGTCGACACCGGGGTGTAGTTTGTAAATGTGATGCAGCCACATGCCCCGCGTGAGATATCCCGCTTGACAGGTCTCGCATTTGTAGGGACACGCCGCATAGTCAGTGCGTTTCCAGGGCTCGCTCGCTCGCTTCTTGTAAGGCTTTGGAGGAGCCTTCACTCCCAAATGCACATACTGCACGTGGCGGAGCATGGTCTTCCTGAGCTTGAAGGGCTTATTGCAGTGCTCGCAGGTGTGGCGGTAGGTGTTGGAGTGGGCCTCCATGTGCTGCTTCAGGCGTCGCTTGGTGGGGAAAACCCGATCACACACAGGACAGGGGACGGTGCGTGGCGGTGGATGCATGTTGCCGATGTGGAATTTCAGTTTGTCCAGCCGCGGGTATTTGTGATGACACTGCGGGCACTGGTAGCCGTCGGGTTGCCAGTGGGTCGGATAGTGCTGCGCCAGTTCCTGACGCGAGTTGCAACATTCGCCACAAAATAAACAGCAGTGTGGCCGCTTTCCTTCGTGTACCTACAGCATAGAAACAATGGTGAAACTGATGCACTGCCATGATGTGCCATCGTTTTTACGATTTGGCCGTGAGTTTTTTAGTAGCGTCAACACAAAAGCGTTATTATCCGTACTTACCCTAGTGTTAGGTACGAGATTCACGATATTTTTCTGGCGAAAAGCTTTATTATTCAACGGCAATCGCATACTACTACTAAATTAAACACTTTTATAAAAAACTCACCTTTTGATGGTGGCGAGCCTTGGCGGAAACAGTTGAAAATTTCTCCAAGCAGATATCACAGCGTTCGGCAAAGGTGGCCGTTTTCAGTGCATACTCGGCTGGATGTCTCTCTTTCAAATGCTTCAAGCTGACGTCCCGCACGCCACAGAACTGACACGGACGGACCTTCGGAAGTGTCTTGCGAGAGGATTCTTCCGGTACTGCATGGGACATGATGTGCTGCATGAAGTAACCGAAATCCGTATCAACGTGCCCACATCCAACGCAAGCCAACACGACATCCTGCCGTTCTTCTGGCGACTGATGCACCAGCTTATGTTGCTGGAGTAGGTCGGTGCTGGGAAAACGAGAGCCACACAGATCGCACTGCAGTGTACGACGTACTCTGTCATATAATATTCCCTTTTCTTTCTGACTATCAATGAACTCTTTGACGATTTTAAAGAACGGATCGGTTTTGCCTGCAACATACTAATGTTACAATTAACAGCGACAAAACATTCTTCTACAGCGCGACATAATTTCGTGCGCGATATCAAAATGTAGAAAATTTCAACTAATGTTCCTCTACTCTGATGCAGTAGCAAATTTTAAACAGTTGCGACAGCATCTAGCGATTAACACGACCGTACATTTCAGTTTTCACTGACCTTTAAACTGTCCAGCAACACCGTGCTTGACTGAAATGTGGACTTTCAGTTTCGCGTACGTCGTACACATCTTCCCACAATCTTTACAAAGAAACCCATTTCCAACTTTGTGTGACTGCGCATGTTCATGCATTTCCGAGAATGTCTTAAACCGTTGATCGCATATGGAACACACACGGCTAGTTTTCTGCAGATGTCTCTGAAAGTAACAGAGCATCTGGTAAAAAAACCACGAAAATTGCTGCAAAGTTGTTCGCATACCAGTCTAACATGCTGATGCAGCGTGAATTCGGTGGGAAACTTCTCCGGGCACTCTTGACACTGCAGTGTCCATGTACTGTACAAGTCCCGATAACACTCCGGATGGTTAACCTGAACATGCGAGCGAGTATGCCGTGTTCCGTAGCCGCACACCGGGCATATCCGAACATTTTTCGCCTTGGTGATTTCCGAGCCGGTCTTTCCATGCGTAGCGACATGCTCCAGCAGATCATCGAGGTCCGTACCAACATAATCACACCCAACGCATTCCATACCGACTTCCGCTGCATCTTCCCGGTGCAGATGGGAATGGAGCTCCAAGAGTGCCGACGACTTGAAACGCATATCACATTCGGGACATTCATGAGGATATAACCACCCAAGTTTTGGTCCCTTCCTCACAGAACGCACGGCGTGCTCCGTTTCCGGCAGCTCTTCACTCCCCGCGGAAGTCTTTATAGGTTCGTCTTCCTCCAAGATAGACTCGAATCCCCCACCACTAATGGGACTCTGACCATCCCGAATGCGATCAGTAGGTCCACTGATGGGATTTGGCTGCATGTCCTGTCGCGAGTCCATCATCGAGGCTGAAATAAGTTGTTATGTCACCAACATATTTTAGAACAAATCTGCAAAACCAGAAACTGCACCTCTTCGCATGGCTTGAGCATATTCCTTGGAATAACCGACCCTCATTTCCGTTCCTGGAAAAAGCGCTTTAGTAGTGACAAAGTAAACATCTCCTCTCCAGAAGCAAGCGGCAGTATTCTGTTCAGCCAGGGACGGTGCAAATCGCACATGCTTAAGCCAGTTGCAGTTGTGATCCGATTCCAGTTGAAGGAACTCAGTCTGGTTTCCACTAAAAAACGGGGATGATCGGAAAGATGCGGGGGCAACGAACGGGCCAAACATCGTCTGCGGCTTAATCATCTCTCTGGCAGTCACTCGAATTTCTGCACAGACAAATGCGTAAATTGGAAGCAAACGCAGTTCAAACGAGAGCAATTTGCTCGAAAAGTACGCGTACACAATGCAGATTCAAAAAAATACGCACCATCACCCATTTCAATGGACACATTTCCTGGCACGCTAGCATATGACAGGGGAACAACATACGTATCAGGAACGGGTTCAACATGCGCCCAACAAGGATTGTCAGTAGAAGCCAGACAGGATGGACAATCTAAAAAAGTTAGCGATCAGAAGAAAAGTCAATTTCTAATTTTCTACAGTTTAATCTAGCACAACGACTTACAAAATCTTTCCGTTTTCCATTGTTTTGCCGGAATACTTTTCATCGGATCAGAACCAGGCTTAAAAAGACTCTCCAGCAATGGAGACTCATCGGATTCCCCCATAATGTTATCGTTTACTTCCGTAGGAAAATTGTAATGCTATAAGAAAAATATTACAAATGGACCGACCAGCACTCAACGGCTTCTATGCATATAAATTATAAAAGTGACCTTACATTTACGAAGGTAACGTCCTTATTCGACGGACCAGAATCACCACAATCAGCACTTGCGGCCTGGACGAATGTCACATTGCGCACCGACAGCCTCACTGCTTCCGCTGGAACATCTGGCAGAGCATCCGTGCTGACCATCCACGACATAATCTGAGGAATGGGCACCGCGCGGGCAGATAAGTGGCAGGACTTTTTTCCTTCCTTACGAGGCTTCGTTCTCAAATCGGAATTGCGAAAATGCGCTTGGCAGATTTTTGCGCTATCATGCGGGGTGACAGCAGTCGGACCACCCGCCACCAACCACTTCTCGTACAAAGGATCTTCGAGAGGTGGAAAAGGGAAAAAATATCGTGGATTCTCCTGATCGTGGGTACCCGTCACTTTGACATCACATCCCGGCATCCAACAACGGTCGCCGCACTGCTTCTGCGCCTCCAGCGGTGCTTCTTCGTCCATCTCGCCAGGAAGAAGATGAAGCAACGCTGGAAATTGATCACTCTTGCGAACATCTGCCGCTGCCGCTTCGGTTTGAATAACCATTGATGCAAATTCTCCAGATTCGTCAATGCTAGGCTCGACGACATCCATGGGAGTGACATTAAGCGTAGAATTTTCCACGGAATCCTCAGATTTCTTCGGACGCTTTTTTTGCTCGGGCTTACTTGATGAGTTTTCATAGTGGTACGGGTTCAAGCAAGTTTCTGAGGGTTTGATGGCACAGATTCCAGAAGGGAGAACATTGGCTTGCCAAACACGTGGCCACCGAAAAATTCGCACAAGCGCAATATGTGACAGCGAGCCCTGAAAGCACTCAATTTTGTAACAGAAAAAAGAACCGGGAAAAGTTAAAGCCGTTTCAAAATGAAGCAACACTGCATCCCTTTCAGAGTATCAGTCACGTATCAAACTTTCATCATCAACAGCCTGTTCGTGATGCGTGCCACTGCACTGCATCATCTTAGCCGGTTTCGATAACAACCTGACGCACCCGATTGCTGCAGACAAGATTTTGTAACTCATAGGTTAACAAAATGTTGCTGAAACTGACGGCTCAGATTTATACTGCGCACTTATTTGTACCGAACAAAACACTTATTTGTACTGAACAGATGAAAGATGGCGGCTAACAAGTATGATTAAAAAAGCTTAAGCTGTTTCAAAACAAAACAAAACGTATACAAACCTCTTATGAAAGTGATTCACAATTTTCATATACGGTAAGTGTCATCATTAACAGCTCGTTCGCAATGCGTGCCACTGCACTGCATTATCAGTGTATCACTCTCATAAGACGGCATAACGGCTACGAAGGCGCCTACAGCCAGTCCAAATAGCAAAAACGGCAAAGGCCGTTACAATATTCCCGAATAATGTGATTTCTATACACACCCCGACATGTCCCTTCCTTATGGGAATGCACCCCGTCGGTTGCGTCACTCCTTTCTCTACAGCCGTGATGAAAGTTTCCAAATAGAGATTCTGCGAATCCAAAGCTCTCACCACCGACTTCAACGCAGTCTGCGTCGTTGTCAGCGCTACGGCGGGGTTTCGCTGGCTAACCAGACGCTCCACGATTTCGGCCAACTGGACAGAGTTCTGCAATAAGCATATACAGTACATAAGAAAACAAGAAGCAGCTAACTGAAATTCTGTGGATGAACAACTCAAAAACCTTAGACTCTGGACATTATCGTTTCTCTGGATTCAAATCTTCAGGAAGCGATAATCAAGGTTTGTTTGAAGTGCAACCACGACAACTACGAGGACGGCTTACATCAACGGGCTTTTCTTTCTTCATGCGCTTTTTCCCACTCGTTGCAGGGGATGCAGATGAAACTGATACAGCAACACTACTGAGAGCGTTTCCTTCCGATGATGCGGTGGAATGCTGACTGCTGCTGCTAGGGCACGCGTCCGTTTCATCGTCACAAGAGTAAAACTCTCCTAATGGAAAAAATGTAGATTACATCTACTAGAAAACTAGAAAATAATCGCCTAATCGAGCGAGTTTCTGTTCAGCTAATTAGCGGACAACTAATGGTAAAGGAACTGCTGGTAAAAAAAACCTCAAAAAGTAACCAGTGCAGATTTCTTGCAGTATTAACTTAAAATTAATCTACACGTTAAAAACTGCACTGAAACTTCTAAAACAGTTTTTAACGTGTAGAATGTAGATTAATCTAAAATCAAGTGAGCTCAACTGTTTGAACAGTTTTATTAACTTTAATATCTCCTTTTGCGCTTTTACCCCGCTCAGTCCGCGCTGAATCCACGTCTTCAACAGCAGGCGACGCAGGTGTTTTCTTGGGCTTCGAAGAGCGCTCTCCTGCCACTTTGAGCGCTGACTCAGTTGACGAAGGGGAAGAGCATTTGGATGTGGAGGCAGTTGTCAATTTGGACACGGCCCACGAGGGCCGAATTACTGGCGGCGGCATAACGAAGCCACGCGGGGGTTGCACCTTCAGGGCTAGACGGCCTCCCTTCAAGAGTGTTTTCTTCAATTCCGAATCAGGATCACCAGCAGTAGCCGACATATTCCGTGAGGAAGTTTTGTTGCTCTCCCAGTCAGTCATCTTAACGTTCCTCGCAGCACTGTTCGCCGTTTTACGGTTTTAAGTTTTTAACTTTTCCCACCAAAATTATCAGTAAACCGTTAGGCGTTAGCCACTGTGCTTGACTCTGTCAATAACAACCATTGCAAAATAAAATGCATACGTCACTGACAAGATCCTGTCAATGACGCGATCCATAAACACAAATTAATGATAAATCTAAACAAACGAAACAAACACAAGAACAAATACTTATTAAAGCTGCTTCGAATGTGGAAAATTGGAAAATCGGAGTAGCATGTGCAGTGACTGCACTGCTGCCAGCAGGCGGACGCCGAAGAATGCTGTCGGTGCCGGAAGAGACGAAAGTCAAAAGCACTTGTTGATTTTTGCCACTGCTGACAAAACAAATCCAAGCCAGACCAAGATTAATACAGTGTATTCAAGCTGTTCTGAAGCGTGTTAGTTTTAGTTTGGAATTCCTTTTCACTGTTTCCCATTTTAATCCTTTATCATTTCCCATGTGTACTTACCTGGCACTTAATTTATGGTTTTTCGAGTGTGCTTTCAGTTTATTTCTGTCAGCTGTTAAAAAGGCTGGAGCGGTTTGCAGCAAGCCGGCGTGAAGATGTCGCGTTCTGCGTCCAGATCGAACTCAGCCTCTCTGGCGTTCTTCGAGGCCATTGCTGAACTCTTGTCCAAATCAGCGTTATCATGTAATGGGGAAACCGCTGGATGCGAGCCGAGCCCCTCCACCAGCGCAGCGCTCCTGTCGCTGCTGAAGAAGCTGAAGTATCGTCCGGGCGAAGCGAACCCGCTGCTGGACCAGCTGCACACGGCGCTCTCTAGCAAAGGCACCACACCTTCTGACTGCGTGACCATTCCGCGCACGGACGACGGGCGCATGCAGCTGGCGGGGAAGAAGCGCTTCCCCCACGTGCTCTACTGCCAGATCTTCCGCTGGCCCGGCGTGCACAAGAATGAACTGCGCCACGTGCCTGCCTGTCGCTACGGATACGATACAGCGGCCTCCAGAGAGCACAGCCTCGTCTGCGTCAATCCGCATCACTATGAACGCGGGCCCCTGCTGACGCTGAGCGCTGCCCTATCAGGCCTCGGCGAGGTGGATGCAGGTCGACTGCGAAAGGATTCGACGGTGTCGGAGCCTTCTTGTACAATGGATACGCCGCCGGCTTTGACAGTGGCCGCGCCGCCGCCCGCCCGTGGATTGGCGGGACCGACGGATTCCGCTCCTGCTAAACGTGCCAGAAAGCATTCCGATCGTTCCAGTGTGTCGGAGGGGTTTCCGCCGTGTTTGGAAATAACGCCGCCGGAATCACCCCAAGTTTTCAGTTCGGTAACCAAAGAGTCGATGGACGATATTATAGAGTTGCCGAACACGCCGGGAAGGTCGGACAGTTGCCGGCCGCGTGTTAATGCCGCTCTGTCGCCTTTGTCAGGGAAAATATCAGTGGCTGTTCGTGGACTGAAACAAGATTTGGTTTCCGCGGATACAGGAAAAGGTTTTAAGCCCTACGTTAAATCGGCTTCGTCATCAATGTCGACAAATCCATCGGATCGGTGCGCCCCTGCAATATCTGCCAAATCGCCGTCAAATGGCTTACTGTTGGATAAAGTTGGTAGTGTGAATCCTGTCGTTCCACGGAAGGAACCGGTGTTTCTGCTGCAGTCGCGTGATTCGGCAGCCGATCGTGGTTCGGAAGAGCCGCGTGCATTGGCGGCATCGCCAGCAAATTTCCGCTGTGATGCGCCCGCTGCGTGGAATGGGCTCCCGCCAACCGGGAGCGGCTACTTTTTGCCGCCTTCTTGGTGGTCACTGTGGATGCAGCACAGCATTCTCCCATCGTACTTTTATAGTCCCGTCACTCCCACTCAGTTACAAAACAAGTTGGAAGATGAACAATTTCGAGCGCTGCTTATCGCGGTACCGATACCGGAGCACTGGTGCTGTTTCCTCTATTACGAGTTGGATCAACAGGTTGGCTCTTAAGTAAATAATGCATTGATTGCTTTGTTAGTTTCCATTGCTCTTAGCGTACCGTTTCCATTGCTGTTGTATCTCCAGTGTACTTGAAATTTTTGGTCTTTATTATTTTTAACATTAGTAGATAAACCTATTTCAGTAAATTTTTATGTTGGTTAGTTAGTGATTTCATAGCTATTTGCTTATGACGAGGTAAATTGCGCTATGCCTGTTATAGTTATTGTTAAATCAAAGAACATTTTTATTAACTGGTCAGTAGTTTGTTATTTTTTAGTCACTACAAAACTACAATGTGGTGTACTGTACGGCGTGTACTGTATTACCATAATATTGTGACTATGAGAAATTAAAACGACGTTTGCAGATTGGAGATATATTCGATGTGCCGGCAGCCGATACCACCATTTACATCGATGGACACGAAAAAGCGGGTCATGCCAACCAGTACTGCCTGGGCCTGCTGACAAATCCCCACCGTAGTGAGGCAGTGATACAGGCTCGTCGCCTGATCGACGATGGAATCGAACTCGCCACCAAGCCTGGCGGCGACGTCTGGTTGCGGTGTCTGAGTCCGCAAGGAGTCTACCTGCAGAGCTACAGCCTGAACTGCGCAGCCGGACGTACTCCGGGTGACGCTGTGCATATGCTGCACCATCGTGGAGAAATGAAGATATTTGATCTTCGCCAGTTCGTATCCCATATGAAGACTGTGGTCCTGGATGAGCAGCCTGACGATGACGATGCTCGCGGTCGCATTCGGGCTGATCTGCATCGCCTCGGCGTGATTCGGTTGAGTTTCGCCCACACCTTTGCCACTCCCCGACAACCCGTCGAGCGCATGCCTTGCTGGATTGAGATTCGCTTAAAATGGCCGCACCGATTAATCGAGGCAGTAATCCGGGATGTGGACGAAACGGATACGAGCGATGAGGAAGTGGATGTCGATTGAGGCAGTTTGGCTTTTAAACTGAATGAAAACCGGCCGTACCATCCTCGAGATGTTTTGTTTGAATGGAGTGATCAAGAAGTGCTCATTACAATTTACAATCTTTTATGTATATTTGCGGCTTCCCGTTGCCTTGGTTGCTTGGACTGTTTTCATGGTGCAACCAGCAGTGTTATACGTTTTGACTGTTGCACGGCGTAACTTTCCTAGATTGGTTTTACTTTTTTCTATGTTTTTTAGTTGAATTGCGTCTTGTCTTGGTGGTTTACGAGTGCGGTTGTTGCTGAACCTATGATGAGAGTGATTACAGAAACGCTACCCTAGTGCTTACATTTGTACAAGAGTCAAAATGCCAAATATGCAATACTTCAATAACAGCACGAATGAGTACTGGCTTACGAACATTAAATACTTTGCATCTTCTTATGCACCGTGTCGCAACTTACAGAGATGGGTTTTATGATTTATCTAACCTTTCTTCAGATTGGCGATACAACACAGTTCTTTGTGATTAGGCCGCCTATTTCCGTAGTCGGCTGAAGCTGGGTAATCAGAAGTTCAGAACAAAATTACTAAGGTTTCACTTTTTTATGAAACTTGTGACTGTACGTTGTATCGCCAGTCTAATAGATTAAATTCAGAGATGGATGAAAATGCTAATTAATATAATACAATGCTAATGTTATGAGTCAGTTAATACTTTGTACAGTGAATATAATTGCTAGATGCCGTATATGGATAGCTAATAAGCGTAAGGTGGACACTGGACAGCACTGTCACCGCTTTGGCGCCTTTCGTTTTAGCTAGTAAACTTATATTTCAACTACCCAATCTCGATGGACAAAGTTTATTAATAGAATTCGTTCTCGATTTCTCCTAATGTAGCAGCTAGCTTGACACATGCGATTCGGCAGTAAAATTATGTAAGCATGTGCTCGAATACAATAATATTATGTATGCCTGTGCTCGAACACTACCTAGACACAGCACTGTAAATTCACTAAATTGTAATCACTCAAAAGCTTGTGAAAACAAAATAAGAGTACCCCGTGCGATTTCGAAACTGAATTTGTTTGCAGATTTTGTCTTTGTGTACTGCTATGTGATAATTATTACTGCGTTATTGTATAGTGAAGTAAATAAGGGACATACAAGTTATAAAAAATTTAAAATAAGCATGAACGCCAGTCGCCAGCAAAAACAACGCAGCCCATGCATATACGCCGTATGGCGTAGGAGTAGATGGTAACAAACCTTTAACCACTGACCACGGATCCGATTCTCCGCAGTCTCGGAACACTCCCAACACTGAGGCGACTTCTGTTGCATTTCGGAGGCGCATTTTCAGTTTGAGTAGAAGCTGACATTAGCAATATATTTCAACTATGGCTGCGTGCACGGGTACAGATACGGGCGTTGGCTGGGTGCACGGGTGACCTTTATGGGTCCGCACGGGTGTGGGCTGCGTGCATGGCTTATTTATTAAATTTATTCAGATTTTCTGTTTCGCGGATTTTTAAAATATAAAGCGCCTCGAATTGTTTTAAAATTTCGAGTAGGTTTTCGACACACAAATATTATGAAAAGCTTAAGCAACTTAAAAAAAAGTATTTTGAGACGGATTTTAAATCACTGTTAATGCTCTATATGCTATAAACATTAAATCATTCTCTCCTGCCGCTGGCAGGATTGACAAAAGTCTGACCCGGAAACGTTTTGTGAAATCTGAGTTTTGATGGCTCATGAACAAATTGAGGGCCATCCATAATAGACATGTGCTACGAAAGTGACTGAAAAATCTCTGTTGAGTCAAGTGGAGAAAAAAGGCTCCGTATTTCTAAAACGGGGAGTAAAATTTAAACGTGTTCAAGGAATAATAATATTTTAATCTAAAAGTAGAAATCCGTGCTCGCAAACATCACCCGTGGCGAATTTTCCCGTGCACACAGCCAACGCCCGTGTTTTCCCGTGCACGCAGCATCGATCTCTATTTTAATATTAATTCGACAGAACGGGCCGGAGGGACTGAAGGCGATATGATTAGAAGGTGATTTGGATTTGGAACTGTGAAGTGATATTCATATAATCCAGCCGTACAAATGCTTACATATATATGTAAGTTAGCACTGTTCATTATTTTGGTTAACATAATCCGCCATCCATATAATATCTGAACGCTGTTTCTTATTTCTTACACTAACAAGTACTTAACAATATTATCGACTCGCGACAATTCGTTACATCTGCACTGATGTGGGCTGTGCAACAAGTTACGACGACAACGTTTTCAATGTGTAAAAGCGCATAATTTGTAAACATGAACGAGTCACGCGGACGTGTGCGTTTGTCATTTACGAGAGTTAATTAATACATTAATTAATTCATTAACTAACAAATTAAAAAACTCTCGTAAATGAATTAATTAACTCTCGTATTAATAGACACTCATTTACAGTGATTTACTCACTGTCCCGGTGGTTTTTCACTGTATTCAGTATATTCACTGTTTCAGTGTACTGTTTGTCGACCGACTGCATTCGTATTGGATTTTCGCAAACTGATTCGCAAACATGAAACTTCAACTGTCTGCGCGCAATTCGAAACATACAAACTTCATTTTATAATACTCGTAATAATCACCCTTGTCCAAAAATTTGTGAGATCTGTTATAATTTCCCGTTTATGGGCAACTTCATTATTACAAAGAATTAGCGGTAACGCTCGAAACATTAACAACAATTATTCTCGAAACATTAATTGTGCTACTCTCGCAACATTAACAACAATTAAAAACATGTCAACATTAACAACAATTAAAAACATTAACAACAATTAAAAACATTAACAACAATTAACAACAATTAAAAACAAAACAAACAACAATGAGCAATACCCGCGTGCATGCGGGCTTTGTAATGCACTGTGCACAGAATATTTCAGAGGAGAGAAAGCATGGGGCTCTATGGGTGAAATCGGTGTTTCTTTTATTTTAACGATTTTCAGGAGAGATTGGACTGTCAGGTAGAAAGTAAAACGTAGAGAATTTTTTTTCTCTACATTTAGATTCAGAATCTGTCAAGCAAAACTTCCTGAAATAATTTCAGAAAGCATTAAACGGAATAGTCTTGTACTGTACTGCTGCACTGAACTGCCAAACGAGGGTGTTCGCAAGATGGCTCAGCAGCTGGAATTTAGATGTTTTCGGTAAAACTCTTTTTGCATTGCTCAGCTTATATTTTGCTGGACAAGTTATATACTGAATTGTAGAGAATTAAATTCTCCACAATCTGGTATGCAGCTAACGGCTGAAATAGCTCAAGAAAACGTAATACAAACGTAAAAGACGTGCGCTCCTGTATATGCCTATGTATAACTCTCTTCTGAAATTTTAACTGCGCAAGCGCTGTACAGGGAAATAGTGGGGTGGTCGTGCACACGGTTAAGGCTTATTAAAAACAACAATTAAAAGCAACAATGCAGGACATGTACACCAGGACGTCAAAACTACAACCGTCGCAAAATCACCATTATCGGTCCATCATACATTTTATCCAGGTATAATTGTTTGCAAACCAGTATCAGAATGATAGCGTTCACGGTGCCGGTTCAGTTTTCCTTCGAAGAGAAATCCTTTTCGGCACAGTTCACATTTATAGGGAAATTCTTCGTACGCCATCCGCTTGCGGGGATTGACATAGCCCTGAATCTGTCCTCTGCTTCTAGCCTCCTGATAGCGCAATCGGCACACCTTCCTTCCCGCCGCATCATGCATTCGCCGTCTGTGCCCGTCCAACTCCTTCTTCTGGTTGAAAGCTTTTCCACACGTATCACAGACGAATTCGTAAGTCTTCTCGTGCGTCCGCATATGAACTTGCAGTTTAGACCGATCCCGGAAGGTTTTGTTGCAGATCGTACAAGCGGCGTCAGGTTCCTTGTGCACCCCTCTGTGATGCGTACTCATCTTACCATACGTCGCAAACACCTTTTCACACACAGGGCATCGATAGCCATCGACTTCTTTATGGACCGGCGCATGACGGCCCAGGGCTGCTGCGTTTGCTAGGACCAAGTTACAAATCGCACACTGAGCACGGTCATGCTGCAAAAACGGATATTGTTTCACTTTCAGAGCACAAGTTTTAAAAAAACAATAAAGATACAAAACAGAATATTTGACGCTCTAACAGAATGAATATACGATTAACCATGCGGCATGCAGCGGTAAATTTCGGTTCATTTTACGCCGAGGTTGATTGTAATTAATAGTTGACCCATATGTGAATTTGAAATTAAAAAAAGCCTACGAAATTAAAAAAATTTACCGTAGTTTGATGGAGGGTCAGGCTGGCTTTTGTGTTGAACTCGCGTTCACAAATATGACACGCCCAACTTCCGGTTTCTGGTTGCTCGGAATGAACCTCCGGATGACGATACTTCACATGAGTATCCATGGCAATACTGGCAATGAAAATGCCACAGTGCTCACATTCGGTCCTTGGATGGTAGCGTTTTCCGTGGCTTTTCACATGAAATACCAAGTCACCAAACATCCCGAAAGTCTTCCTGCACTCTGGACACTCCCGTTCAGGGCCGTCCATCGCACCATCGGCATGCAAACTGTTATGCAGAGACAACAATTTCTCATCGCCGAAATTAATTTTACAATCGCTACAGGCAAACTTCGTCGCTTCCGACGGATCGGTCAAACACACTTTCCTGACATGATGCTTCGGAGATGGCGGAGGAGTGGGATAATAATCGCTGTCAGAACCAGCCTCCTCTATTTCCGCATCGTCGTCTTCCGATTCAGCTTCTTCGCTTTGCACAGAATCCTCATCCGAGACAAGATTCTCAGGAAGAGAGCTGCATAACGCCGGTTTCAACACCGGTGTCAACGCATTCGGCTTGACGGGAAGACGAGAACGATTTGTACGACGCGGATGAGTCGTTACTTCGGGATCGAGTGGACGTTCTTGTGAGATCATTTGTGCCAATCCGATACCGGAGAATGCCGGCATGGCAGCAGATGAAGCGTCTGAAAAACAAAGCGAGTAAGAGCAAACTGCTGCACACGTTCACAATCACAACACAAAATCGTACCGGGGATATCAAACACGCTGAAATCAGAATGGAAACTGTCTATCATTCTGGCGTACGGTCTCGAATAGCCCACTCTCAGTTCTTCGCCAGGGGCGATATATTTTGTCGTAACAAACACCAGCTTGTTCTTCCGTTGGCACACCATCAGATTCTGTTCGGACAGGTTCTTCGCCAGGCGTACGTAGCGCATCCAGTTGCAGTAATCATCTGAATCCAGAAGGCACTGTTTAACAACGCCACTCCCGTTTTCGTCTTTGATGCCGAAATTGGCTTCTTCAGAGGCAATGCAGACTGGAGCGAGCATCGGTCCAAACACTGTCTGGGTGTGCAGCTCAGTTCTGGTAAAAACACCTTTCTCTACAGAAAAGCAATCGTATCACGCTGCATAAGGGATTTGTAAGTTTAGTGCAATCATATTTAAAGAACTGCTAAAAGATGGAAGTTAGTAAGTGTACCGAGCGAATCCATGCACAAATCAATGGTGAGGCAGCCGGGTAAACTTGCTATGGCCAACGGGACAACAGGCGTATTCTCAATATACGACGTGTGAAACCAACACGGCTCCTCTGAAAACCGCTGACACTGTGCACAGTCTACAATGAGACAACTTTGAAACCATCAACCGTAAATCCATCACAGTCTTCAGCAACCGCTACTCCTTCTAGTACTACTCGTAGTACTACTTCTCGTAGAAATTATTTCATTAGACTGATTAAAAGTCCATTTGGCCAAGCTCGAAGAAAACAAATTCCAAAACTCTACTTAAGAAATCCTTACAGATGCCAGTGCATAGAAATCGCTTTCCATCGTCCTCGGCAGACATTCCCGGAAGCGACAAGTCTGTAACCAACAGTCATTATGACAAAACGTGTCACGACTGTGCAAGTAGTACATACTGTATTCACACAACCTTTGGGTTGAATTTCTCATTTATGCAAAGTCACATCGAACGGCGCAGCTGATTCACGCGTTGCCAGTGTTCAAAGTACTACCCGAGTAGCAATAAAAAATGCAAGCAATATGGACAATTACAGCTAATTATTTACTAAAGGAACACACAGAGTACAAGTAAAGCGTTTGTTAACCGCATCAGTACCGATGTCTAACTGTTGCAAGTCGCTGTCCGATTCCGCCCGGTGTGCAGTCTCGCATGTCCGGCCATCCACAACAAGGTGTGAAACACTTTCATTGCTGTCATGTTCAAGGCCTAGATTCCCACATTCCGTTGCATGATGGGTTGCCTTCTCTAACACAGAAAAACTCCAGTACACATAAAATACCTTACTTCCGGTCTACGGGAGCGACGGCGCCACTAACGGCAAGACCAAAATCATTACAGACAAATAGACATCATTACAGTCACAGTCTCTGACTCTCACAGACAACCGTCAAGCTACTGGCATTCACGAGTCGGAGCGCTTTTTACCTGAGTACAAAAAAGCACTCCGACTCGTGCAAAACAACCAGATAGCGCTGCTGATCATTTGCTGGTTACCACTGACCCAGTGCGGCTATTTTCCGATGCCACCTTTGCAGCGTTGCGTAAGTGCCAACTCGCTGATAACTTTTGAGAACACTACTGAAACTTCGTGGTCGCTTGGATTTCGTATCCTTCCAGAAACTGATGATTTCCTTCCATACTTCAAGAGAGTAGCCTTGGCCGTTAGGCCCGCTAGCCAGTTTTCGTTTGGCTGCAGTCTGTTTTTTCGTCACTTGACTGCCTGCAGCAATTAGAATCGAAATTTGAAAAACCCAAACACAGCGTTTCACTGCACATTCAATATGTTAACGCACAGAACATATGCCGAACAGCAACGCAATTATAGAAATCCCAGTTACTGACACGCTAATGAACTATTACAGTTTTTTCGTTGAAATCGTTTGCGTGCATTCGCATTAATTTTCTTGGATTTACCGAATACCAGCACAGCCAGGTTAGAATTATTAAAACCACTGCTGGTGATTACAGACTTATACACCGTTACTAACCCACAATGCAATGCAACGTAAACATAATATGATAATACGAATATATATTTATGAGCAATTTCTGAATATATTCGTACTTCTGAGTATTCCAGAGACCAGTCACATCACAAGAAAAGATTTTTACCTGTGTCAGTGCCATTGGCTTGAGCGTGAATCTGAATGTTGCTAGCATTATCATCCGAAAGATTCTCCGACAAGTCGGCTCCGTTTTCCGTGTCAGGCGGAGATTTCTTCTGGAGCTCATCTGCAGCCTGCGCAGTCGTCAGGATTTCTTCTGCGGTGGTTTTTGCGCTTAATGTTTCGCCACTCACATCGGCTTCCAAGAGAACATTCAACATTTCCTGGCGGCTGTTCACATTGTAGCTCACTACTTCTTGCTCTTTTAAAATTTCTTCCATGTTATGGCTGCTTCGTTGAAAATTGCCCACTGAATTTCAGTCACGACACAAATTTTCATTCTTCAACAATCTCCAACGAGCTACGTAAACGACGCTGATGAACTGGTAAGTACAATGTTCGCATGTTGACGGCAATCTGCACTTACAGACATTGCTAGGGTCTTGAAAAAAGGAAGCAGTACAGTATGTAACGCGTTACACATCCAATAAGTAATAACTCTATGGTTGTTAAGCGGGAATTGGGAAATGAAAACTGAAACCTGGGAATAAAATTGAAAATCAAAAATTTACACATGCGTACTGTACTTACTTTACTGCGAATGTCAAAAATAGAGCGCATGGATGATGGATCTAAAAAACTCAGGGATAAGCCAACGCGCAGGGGCTGCCCACTGCGCACTGCGCAGAGCAGGCAGTACTGCAGTAGAGTAAAACAGCTGACTGGTATGGTTGTTTTTCTAGTAATCTAGTTTTCTGACTTTCGCTGCTTAATATCACAGACACCTACTCGTTTTTCAGAGTAGGAACGCAATCAGTTTGTTGTTCATGTAGTCTGAGCAAGTTGGATATTTCCTTGGGTGATCTGTTTGGATAGCGATTTTTGCTGATGGGATTGGGATTCATGCCAATGCCAGCGATAAAGCCCATCCATGACTGCGCACAGCCTACGCAAACTGCTCCATCAGCATGTGATGAGCCTGCTGCATTCGCGCCGCACCGTGCTCGTCATCCTCTTCACCGCGGCCATCCTCCTCATCTCCGTCCTGCAGTTCAGCGACACCGTGTTGGAGTGGAGTATCGACAAGTACCGCTACATCGAGCACGTCTCGCGCTATCGCGACAACATCGCCGGTCGCACCTTCGAGGGGGAAATCTGCTACAACCAGCCCATCGATGTGGTGTACACCTGGGTCAACGGGTCGGATCCCTGGCACCAGGAGCAGCTGCAGCAGCTGCGAATGGCCATGGCCAGCGGGGAGTCGGCGCGGAGTGAGGGGGAGGGCCGGGAGAAAGGCGGCAGTCCAGCGGGAGGGAGGGGGGAGGCGGGGGGAGGACCGGCGGATCGGCGGAGTCTGCTCTGCAGTTCCTCCAACTGTGTGCAAGCCAATGCGGTGCTCGTGTCGCCCGCGATTTCCGGTGCAGATCTCAGTGAGGTTCTCGATGATGCGCCGGTCGCTTCGCTGATCAGGTAGTCAGTAACATTCTTGGAACATGATGGTTGTGTTAATAAAAGTACAAACTACAAATGTATTATTAATATTACCAAATACAGTAAAAATAATTTTTTGAAAATTATTTTTTGTGGAACAGAGTCGTACACATTTTGTTACATTGAAAAGGTATCTTAAACTTCCGAATAGACGCCAGTAGTGTCGCCTTGAATCGGTTAGCTCGCAAACTTGTGTGCCTTTTGGCGATTACTGTACTTAAAACTGCTCGATGGTGTACAGCATGTGCGCTTCGCAGTTACGGAGCAAAATTTTTATAATTTGTTTTATATACTTACACATGCAGTTACAACGTGTCGGACAGCACCTTGGCCATAGTGCCCGAAACGTACGACCTGGATGAATTACTAGAAGACCGCAGTCTGGATGTCAATGGGAAGCCGTTCAGTTTTGTCTCGGTGCATCTGGTTATGCAGGATGATGATCACCCCACGCCGGCTTCCTATGCATGTGAACCCCTGGATTTCATACTGATTATCGCCGGAATCACCGCCACCGTAACCACGGACGATATCCGCAAAGCACTGGTTGTGGCACCGCATCGGATTGATCTCTACCGCAGCCGTAACCTGGCCGTTGTTTATCTTAAGAATAGCGTCGGCGTTAACGTGGGTCAGATTATGGTCGGAGATGTGGAAAGTACGGTGGCGCGGGTGTGTATGCTGCGGGACGTCAAGCCGAGCTCGTCGGATAATGAGCTGCGATTGAGTCGCTTCAAGGTGAAGATTGTTTTCTTTTGATTTTGATTTTTGGTAGACGCGTTTTAATGCCACAATGGCGAAAAATGTTATTGATAAAATATAACAGCAAATTTTCCAGCACTTTATTTAAAACTTTCCACATGCCGGTGTTTTCTGGTGGACCGCGTTACTGTACCTCAATGGATCGCTTTATTGAGTATACTGCACCATTACACTTTTGTTTACAAAATATAAGTAAACGAATACGTAATTATAGCAAATAACTGTACCTTAGCTGATTTATAATATCTCTTATATTTGAGTATTTCAGGATAATGAAGAACTGCGCTATTCCATTCGGTCCCTAGTGAGACATGCCGGCTGGGTACGTCGCATATTTATTGTAACGAACGGGCAGATTCCATCGTGGCTGGATTTGGAGAATCCTCGGGTGAAGATTATCACTCACGAGGTACGAGCAGTGCACTCCCACTTGTGCCAACTTTACATCGTTCCTGCATTTGTTCGTGTACTGCAGTAATATTGATTGCTATTGTTTTTATTAAAACAATCTCAGGACATATTTCCTAACAAGGCGCATTTGCCAACCTTCTCCTCCTCGGCAATCGAAAGCCATCTGCATCGCATTCCGGGATTGTCCAAGAAGGTGCGCGCATTGACGGCTTTGGTTTATTCATCGTATCCTTTTTTATCGTGACTTGTCTTGCAGTTTTTGTACTTCAACGACGACGTACTACTTGGCCAAGATGTTCTTCCGGAAGACTTCTTCTCGCATTCAGAAGGTTATAAGGTGTGGATAGCGTTCTGTAGTTATGAAAATGGTGACCAGTCTCTGCTTCATTAGGTCTATTTGAGCTGGCATGTGCCGGCGTGCGCGGAAGGATGTCCTGCTGGATGGATTAGTGATGGATTCTGTGATGCCGCGTGCAATAATGAGTACTGCAATTTCGACGGTGGGGACTGTGTTAATAAGACCGCCGGCGTTCCTGCAGATTTTAACGATGACTTTGATATGGATGTGCTTCAGTTCACAGGTAAACTTGGTGTCGTTGAGGCGCTTTGCGTAATTACCAGAGTAACAGTAAGAGTGGCCAACAGAATACAGTTCTTTATTCTTAGTCTTCATTTTATTCGGCTAGTCAGCCAGCACACAATGACAATAAGCCTGCGTCGATTTACGCTAATTAAAATGATTCTTTATTCTTCTTGAATTATTGTTAAATAGTAAAGACAATGATTTATTGTAAATCAGTGATTTTTACAGTAAGTCTGCAACAGTGATTTATTCAAAATTATAAATTACCAGTCGTTTGTACTGAATTTCGTGTTATTATTTTTTATATACAAAGCTAACTGAGCCGTTTTTTCGGCCAACATCTCCTCCTACACCGTTCGACACTAATTTTTACACGATAGCTAAAAAAATCCCTAAAATCACGTACTGTAGTTTGCGGCAACGACTTTCGTTTTTCGATCTTTTCATCCTCCGATTTACGAAACGGCTCCAAAGCGAATTTCGCTGATAGGGTCGATCATTAGAAAGTACTTCAAAGTAGTAACAGGACTGGCGAAAATGCGTAACTTTCGAACCTAAACCACTGACTCATCGCATTTGTACGAACATATGTATAGGTACTTACGAAGTATTGCATATTGTTAAGGGATTTGGCCCGGTACATAGCACTAAGATCGTGCACATCCACGGGAACTTTCGCTGTCGCGCACTCCCAAACACTTTTTTTACTTTGTTTTATGGTATTTTGTGGCCAAAAGAATTGTATACGTAGGTGTGAAATCCGTTTGCGCGCGCAACATCCGGTTGCGGAGTTATGAGGGTAACAAAATTCTGAAAAGTTTAAATGCTTTCCGGTGTACCAAAAGTCTCATTATGAACCGATCTCCTATAAATTTTGCAAGTAAATGCGCATTACCATGAAGATCGTTCTTACACCGATCCACTGTTCTAGCATGTTTTTCGAATTCAAAATGAATTTCAAAAATTTTAAAATTCATTTTAAAATTTGAAAAAAATCGTGGAAGTCTGGATCCGTGTAAGAACGATCTTCATGGTTATGCGCATTTACTTGCAAAATTTGAAAGTGATCGGTCCATAATGAGACTTTTGGTACACCTGAATGTATTTCAACTTTTTGGAATTTTCTGACAGCCATAACTCCCGAACCGGATGTTGCGCGCAAAAACGGATGTCACGCCTCTGTAAACAAATCATTTGGCTACAGAATGTCAAAAAGCAACTCAAAAAAGTGTTTGGAAGTGCGCGAAAGCGAAGAATCCGGCCAATGTACACGAATTTGGTGCTATGTACCGGGCCAAATCCCTTAAGCTAAAGGGCATACATTTAGCAAACATACACTGACACACACGTACAGGGATTTTCGCCGGTTAGATAGAAGTACAGGGATTTTCGCCGGTCAGATAGAAGTACAGGGATTTTCGCCGGTTAGAATAGAGGGGCAGGGATTTTCGCCAGTCAGACACATGGGGCTAGGATTTTCGTCGGTTAGACAGAGAGGTTGGGATTTTTGGCGGTTAGACGGAGGTGTAAGGATTTTCGCCGGTCATACAAAAAAAAGGAATTTTTTCGGTCAGACAGAATCGGGATTCGGTCGATATGTTATTAATAACAAGCGTCAAATATAAACAGGCCGCTAGTATCTGCGACAAGACTTTTGCGCACGTATCTGTGACTAATCTCTCCGCAATGATCAAGAGAAAAAAATGGAAAATCTTCCCACCAGTGATAACGCATACGTGATTGGAAGTGATTGCCAGATCTGAGAGCGTCGTGAATGTTGCATTCGTATTGTGTCTGTCATGGACAACGGAACACAACAATTTCAAGCCTAATAGCGAAAATCATTCTAATATAACGACTAATATTTATCTGTTTTTTTAATGTGCAGTGTTTTTGATGTGTTGATTAAGCGCGACTGGTTACTGTTATAATTAGTTCACAAAGTTTTGCTCGATTAGTAAGCTCATTAATTAAATTATCAATTTACGCTTAATAATAACTAACACCGTAATTAACTGCTATATTTCGTTCATCACGAATTTCTGCTCAGTGAATAAGTTAATAATAATTAATTAAATCTGTTAAATTTACGCTTTATGATAATTAACGCCGCAATTAACTGCTTTAATTAGTTAACGAATATCTACTCAATTAAAAAAATAATAAAATCTAATTATTTACGCTGAATAATAAATAACAGCGTAACACAAAATTAACTGTCATAATTAGTTCACAAATTCCTGCCCGATTAGTAAGTGAACTAAATAAATCTGTTAAGTAATTATTACTCTTAATAGTTAATAAATAACACCGTAATAACCTACCGTTATAATGCAATAGGGTGTCACTTCGGACAATTTGAAACCGTTCAGAACACTTATAACGAGTTGCTGAGTGGTCATGGATGTAGGCATGAATTACAAAACCGAGCTAAATAGCTCGGTTTTATAATTCAGCAACTGAATGTCCATCTGACCATTGCGCGCGGCGTTATCAGTGAATCTGTCTGACTCACAAATCAGTGCGTGAGTTGTTACGCGCTCGAGCGTTTTGACGTAGACACAATTCGCATCTGAGTCCCAATACGCGGTAAATTTGACAGATAACAATAATAGTTTTGGCCGATATGTTATTTGGCTCAACCTTCTTTGTAGACGACGATTTTAACGATGGCACTTCCATTAGTACATGTATATGTTTATTATTTATGGTTGATTCTTTATATTTAAAGCTCTGTTATATATATATTTATAACAAGATAAACGTAATTCAGTTACTGATTTACACAACATACTCTCTATTGCGTAACATGAGATTACTAATGCCAAGCGCAATTTTGCTTTACGCCTTGCATCGTGGTTGTACCATAACGGGAAAACGCAGTAAAGCAAAAAAAAAATTTACAATTTCAACCGTCTACCGAAATAATTAACGGACTTAGCTGAATTCTATAGCATTGAGTACTTAATGACGACAATGACAAATTCAAAACAAACCGCATTTCCAATCCAGTTAAATCCCTTTTCTTAAATATTTATAAAACTACCCCATTACTTTCTTTAGTTCTAAAAATTCTCAACCGAGGCCTCCGGCCTCGGTTGAGCTTGTACTTAATACTTACAATGTTAGTTTGCCTTCATGCAGTACAACCACTACAAACGTAATGCAAAAGATCTGCTTTACGCTCGAGAGCGTGAAACGTTGAATTTCGTCCACGAAATTTTCGCCTAAACTTTCCTTCTCCTTTGCCATTTTTGCGGAATGTCGGTTGCGAAGATCTGGTTATGAAATTTAAATCCCGGCAGTTTTTTTAACGCTATGGATAAATTAATTAAACGGTAACCATATCATTATCCGCGGATTCGGCGATACTGTACGGCAAGTTTTACTCGTATTGGATAATATAAAGAGCTTAAGGAACAAGAGCCTTTTCATTATTACAGGAACTTGCCATCCTGGTTGTCTGAATGCCTGGCTGGCTGATCGCTATTGCGACACCGTCTGTAATCATCCCGAATGCGCTTTCGATGCTGGCGATTGTGGTGTCGAGCGGTTGCTGGCGTATCCCCACATCGACCTACTGAAAGAGCAGACCGAATATTGGACCACACCTGGTGCTTTCGCTATCCTCTTTAATGCATCTTCTGTGGAGAGGACCTGTTGGCGATAACAGAGGGATCGTACAAACAGGCGAAAGGGGTCCGCGTGATTTCTCTCCATCCTAAACAGTCCGCTGTTGTGATGCTGTTGTACAGTAATGCTACCGGTTTTGTGGATTTGACGTTAATTTATCGCAACGGAGACAATTCAAGCGCTGTTGTATCGCAGGTACTCGTAATGATTAAGATGGTTTATTGGGTAATTGTGCAGAAGTGGGCCAGAAAATAATATATTAAGTCTGAATTGTTACGGGGCGAGAAAGCAGCCAGGCTGCGGGAATGCGGCTGCGGCGGTGTGAGGCTGCGACGGTGTGGTTTTGTGACGCTGCGGGAGCGCGGTTCTACGAGGCTGCGGCGCTGCGAGATTGCCACGTTCTGGAACTGCGGAGCTGCGAGACTGCTGTGTTGCGGCCTTGCGAAACTGCGGCACTGCGAGCTGCGAGACTGCGGCGCTGCAAGCTGGACTTGTGGTGTTGGTGTGTTGCTAAGCTGAATGCTGCTGAAAGTAGCCAATTACTCCTCGGTTGCCGATATTTATTTAGATGTCGTTATAGGTTTCGTTATAGGCTATTATTACGATAATGACATAATGTCATTTTAAGTTTTTCGAGGAACCCGTTGAACGGTTGAATTAGTTATAGTCCACCGTTTATTTAGACCACCGAGAATTTAGTCTAATGAGCACCGTCCCTCGTACAAAGAATCCGTATTATTAAATTAACGTTCTGATTATCCAATAAATAGTACCACTCTTCAAATAAATGCGTTTATTCAATAAATTATTTATCATTATTTTTATTTATTTACATTTTATTGTTAAAATTTTTTTTTTGTTAATGCGTGACCGTCCCAACGTCGTGACCGATGTCCCATTCTCTTGAATGCAGAGAACCTTCGCTTCGTTTTGGTTGATAAAATCAGTTAAAATCAGTCTAACGAAAATAAAAACAAGCGTTAAAATAACGTTCCAGTACCGAGCGTGGCATCTTTTACTGTAGGAGCGTAGAACCCTTTTGATGTAAAAATTAACGAAATGATGATAATTATTGTAATGCGAAGTACAGACAGTTGTATCCATGCAACACTGGCCCACTTGTGCATTAATGCCGGTTATTGTTTCTAACAGTATCGCAGTATTACAATTCGCTGAATTATAATTTTTTGTAGTTTGATTTCCGGGTGCATTTCGATTCGTCTCCGCAAACCACTTCTGTGCCGACTGAAGAAAAATCGGAAGAACACAAGCAGCAATTAATTTTCTCCACGGTGTCAGCGGATCGCAGGTGATTACTGAGTTACAACAACATGATAACACTACACCTATGAAAATTTTTTAGATTGAGAATAGTACACGACGTATTCACTTTTATGCAGTTCAGTTGACACTGGGGTTGTAGCGAGATGCATTTGTACTTATCAGAAATGGTGTACACTGTACACTGAACTGTTATTGGGAAATCATCATAATTTGTTAAGCTGCATTTCATGGTATATTGGGAAAGTCACAGTAATTATAGGGACGCGTTCGTCTGTACGGAATTCGAATATTTTAAGGCATTCGAATTTTTAAGTGGAAGTTAGCAATGTTCTTTGTTGAATTAAAGTGTGCGTCGCCGTTCTGATAGCTAACTTAGGTCCATAAATTTACAGAGGTCCGAGTCACTACGCTGGATCGGTATCCGAACGTATTTGGGAGGAATACGCCGATCTTCATGCCAATGCTACCGCCATTCTAACTCGCTTACACGCTCAATTATCCTCTGGGGAGATATCGGAGTTTGGCTTTTACTATCGCAGCTCAGTTTTGTTGGGTGTCACGATGAGCGGCAGTGTTAAGCGGCCCACCGTTATTGCTCCAAAGACAGAATTAATACGTTTGGTGACAAGCTCTCAGAAAGTGAGTGCTACATCCGAGCCTTTCTCATCGACCGGGATTCCGACGTCGCGCCCAATGGACCTCCAAGCGAGTTTTAATCGAGCCAGGAACAAAATGCGACCAAAGGACGCTTTTGCGGATTCTTTACGGCACGTCAACCGGTTGTACAACGCGGCATTTACTACCGAAGCGCGGAAGGTACCGGCGCATATTCCGCATTTCGTCGACAGAGAGGTCATGACGGAGCTGCAGAAACAGTTTCCCAAAGAGTTCGACCACACGTCGGCCAGCCGGATCCGTGGATCTCAGGATATGCAGTAAGTGTTGCACTTGTCCATTCACTTACATTTAACTGCGTTTGGGTTACGTGCAGAAAATGCACATGCTAGATAAATCTCTCGATATGTCAGAGGATTCCTCTAATATATCGAGAGACTTATTTAGCATCTATCTCCTCTGAGAGGGGATAGCTGCAGCGCTGCGAAATGTTTTGGATTCACTTACCACAGAGATACCTAGGTTAGTCGGGTTTTCCTGAGTACAGCTATTGTGAGGATCAGTTTTGCCAGAAGTCTGATGTTTCCTAAATCCCATTATCTGTTATTTAACGGTTGAATAAAAAATCAGCCGAAATATAGAGCCTTCAACCTGAGTTTCCTCGTAGATTTGCATTTTCCTATTTCTACTACATCATGAGCAGCAAGAAAACGGTTGGAGCCGGAGATTTCTTCGATGAAGTAGATCGAGACCATTCTGGCAGTTGGGAGCAACGCGAAATCCATTTGGCAGCGTTACGTTCACTGCTCGATGGACCTCTAGTTACGTCGAAAATCCATGATTTTTACCGGATGGTTGCCAACTGTACACTGGCGTCGGCGCACAACGTTAGCATAAACGATTTAGGTGCAGTCAGTAAGCAGCAGCTGCTGGCCTGTCCAGAAGCGGTCCAGCGGTTGCAGGAAGCCGGTGGCAAACGAAATAAGTTCAAATTCCGTTTGGGAGATGCTGAAGTAAGTTTTGTGCGCTTTGGTTTAATTGAGGATTTCACTAGTCTGTGAGCTTCGAAACTCCTTTAGGGATTCACATTTGTTCGTGTTGGGAATAACGATAGCTTGGTACGGAAAGAGCTGGAGGGGATCCTGCGGCGTCCAAAGAAGTTTCTTTGCATTAATGATGAGGTAGATTACACCCGTGAAGATGCAGCCGAAATCCAGGCAGAGATCGGAGAATTTTTTCGAACATTATTTCCTGTGTCGTCCACATTTGAGTTGCCCGCTGGAGTGCGGAATAGATTTATGCGCCTCAACGATTTCCAGAAATGGTGAGCGCCACATGTTGTTTCTCTGCTATTCATAATGGAGACAGTTAGAGTGCTTTTTGGACAAGTTTTAATGTTTGCTAGTATTTTTAAAGCAAAAATTCCGAAACCAAAAATAAAAGAATACTGTACTGAATTGCATTATCTGCCGTACGGTGGAGTGTCAATGAATTTCGATAAAGTCTCGTATAGCAAGAATGTGATTTCCGGTTGGTTTCAAAGCTGGAATCTGATGTTTTAAACGAGTTCTGATCTTTTGGTTTTTGCTTTTTGTTAAATACTTTCCTTCAGTCTGTATGTAAGCATCGCGGAACAACGTAGCGGGCGTTAGATGAAGAAGTTTATCCCAGTCGGCGGGATGAGGAAGAGTCAAGGGACCAAAACGAATAAAACGATATACCAAAACGATAATATCCCATAAGCGCTAGATGTGGACATTTTGCTGAGATGGAAGTATTCACCTTTAAAATATTTTAACGCTTTAAATCTTGGGTTGTAGGAAACGAAAAGCACAGATACTGCAGATTGCCGTTGTGATGAGCGGAATTGCCGTTTTTGTTGCGGTGCTTTGGTTTTGTGTAAGTTTTTGTTAAATACTGTAATAGTGTAGTGGTGTAACCATTTTCAAGAGAATTTCTCGTTTCTTTCTCCAGTTTCCGAGACTACGAAGGAAGATTTGCCGTTCTTTCCGCCAAGCCTATTTTGGACCAATTCGGCAGGGAAGTCATTGGCTTCCTGTTCGCACACCGTCACCCGCATGAAATGAAGCGGCCATTGGTGACAATTTTATTATTGCCAAAGAAATGCGTATGCCTTTCAGTTCGCACCTGTTTATTCTGTGATTTGCTGCTTACGCATTAATTCCCCCGGTAATTTTATCGTGTGATCAGTGCACGTTTTGGTTCGCCACTGGCTGATAAATGTGGAAGCTCAGCTTAATTTGTAATTAAAAAGCAAGATGATTACCAGCGATAACGTAGAATTGTTTTTGTGACGTTGATTATGCTGTCCCGATCTTCGCACCATCCTTTCTAGAGACAAGGAAGTAGGAATAGTCGTGATGGGCGATTATTTAAGGGATTTGGCCTGGTACATAGTACCGAATTCGGGTACATACACGGGAACTTTCGCTGTCGCCCACTCCTGAACACTTTTTGCATTGATTTAGGACATTTTGTGGCCAAAGAATTTGTATACGTAGATGTGAAATCCGTTTGCGCGCGCAACATCCGATTCGGGAGTTATTAATGAAATAAAATTCCAAAAGTTTAAACGCGCGGAGGTGTATCAAAAGTCTCACTATCAACCGATGCTCTTCAAATTTTGCACGAAAGCACACATTACTATAAAGATCGTTTTGGTACGAGTACCGTACCGGCTTTCTACCATTTTTTTTTAAATTTTAAAATGTATTTAATTTGAAGAGCATCGGTTCATAATGAGACTTTTGGTACATCTCCCCGCGTTTAAACTTTTGGAATTTTATTTCACAAAAAAACCCCGAACCGGATGTTGCGCGAACATACGGTTTTTTCGCCTATGTATACGAATCCTTTGGTTACAAAATATCATAAAGCAATGCAAAAAAGTGTTTGGGAGTGCGCGACAGCGAAAGTTGGCTTGGATTTAAATGAATTTGGTGCTATGTACCGGGCCAAATCCCTTAACAACAATAGTCTGAGTGAATACTTTCTTCCTCTGATACCCACATACTACAACCGGTGTAGCGCCGTATCGGTCGTTGGCTATAGTTCGTAATGGCCGCCCCGCTGCATTTCTTCGGAAATGCGTTATTCGTTCAAGGTATTCTACTAAGAGGTTCTATGCGAGGCTGCTCGTCAGCAAGACAGCGCTGAGCGTAAACCGAAATACAAACCGATTGAATCACTCTGTGCGGTGGATCATTCGGCTCGTGGGTCGATGAAGAACGCAGCAAAATGCGAGACGCGACGTGAATTGCAGGACTTTGTGAACGTCGGATCTTCGAACGCACATTGCGGCTTCGGGCTAACTGAAGCCACGCCTGGTTGAGGGTCAGTTGAATAAAAATAATCGCCGCTGCGTGAAGGTGGCGTATTGTCTGGCTAGCGCTGCTGAAGCGCTATCAGATGAAGTTGAGACCAGATATGCGTTCTAGTTAGTGGACCGGTGAAGGCTGGTATCGCTGGTTGGAGCAGAAGGCTGTCGTAGCCGTGCGCCGCAGTTGCACGTGCATGATCAGCTGCCAACCCTTGCGATGTTTCAGCTGGTGTTTACTGACAGGAAGCGGTTAAGCGTATCTGCGTGG